GCCTGAGCCCATGGCCGCACTGCTTAAGACTGCACTTTTGAATCTTGAATTGAGAGAGGCTTATAAACAGCCCAAGACCGGTGGAGAATGGATGTCTTCATTTGGGATGTTCCCCCTTGTACTAGCAGTCCTCAATAGGGACTATAAATAGGGACCATAAGAGGGGTACAATCATCCCTATTAACATCCCAAGTCTTCATGTTCGTGTTGCTGCAACCCTCTGGTGCTTGCCAAAGATGCACTTTGCAACTTCGGTGAGCACCGGAATGTTACTCTCACCTTGCTTGCAGAAGAGGACAGGAGCAAGAGCCTGAAAACAGCCCCCAGAAGAGTCTTTCATGGTAGCTAACGTTTTCAACGCAGCAAAGGGCTGCTCAAAGCACCCGTGTTCCGAAAAGTGTGTTTAGGATATGGTGAGACAAAGGTGGGATGTGGTGGGAAAAGGTTAGGATATTGCGGCGTCGCTTGTTCGGCACGCAACAACGTACAGTTCTCTGATTCCCTCCCTAACAAAAGGCGCGCATATCCGCGCCGGAGGTGCGGGGAAAACATGGAGCCTCTGTGGAAAGGGAACTGTGCAGGCTTCGTTGGGATGATCGCAGGGCTCTTAGAGACTCTCGCGGTTTCCTTGAGGGGCTTGATGTCTCAAGTTCTCGTGTTTGGTGCCTTTGGTTTCTTGGTGTAGTGTCTTCAAGTTTTCGTCGTGTTTGGTGCTTTCTGGGGCTTTATGCCGTGTCGAGAAAGCTCTGTGAAGTTGACGCGCTACCATTCAAAGCGGCTACAGCGGTAACCATGTGGCTTCGGTGCTCCCGCGTTCTTGTTTGAGAGGTCACTGAAGTTCACCGTGTGCTCGGGTTCTGCCAGGCTGCTGGGCCGCTGGGCCCTGTGAAGACAAGTGGCTTTTGATCATCCTCTGGATGGTAGGCACAAGAGACGCGTAGCCCTCCCCTGGCACAAGGCGATGCTCGTCCGCAGGGCGCTCCAGGATTTCTGACAGTACCTCCGATTCAGGGTGGCGGGCAGGATATACTCCCCAGTCTGTATCCGAGCTGCCGCACCTGCAGGTGTTGAAGCTTCTCCTTCCACTTCTCCATGGAAGTCATGCTGGTGATGCACCATCCTGTCCAGTATGTGAGCTATCCGATATTTCACCTCAGAATCATGTTACTTAAGGTTGCTTTGGTGTGAATGGCCGCACTCCAGCCCTCAGTGGCATCGCAGTGTCTCAAGGACATCATGGATCTACAATGATCTTCACTTGTGCCGCCCATTCTATATGGCATTGAAATATAAACAGCCGGAGCTGGGACTCTTCCACAGACTTGGCATAAAGACTTTAGACATAGCGCCGCTGTGAGAGGCCTTTGGGAAGCTTGAGGAATGGATCGACTTTGCCGAGCAGATCGCCTTAGCATGCTTTGCACAGAGCCCACGTTTCCAAACATTAAATATCGCAAAAGTGCCCAGATGCAGCACAGGAACTTGCGCTGGTGCTGCCTGTCTTCGGGGCAGCACTGGCTTCACCTTCACATGCACAAAATGCATAGCCCATAGCGTTAGCCTTAAACCCTTAACCCTAAAAAACATGGGTAACTTCATTGGCCGCAATGCCTCGGTAGCGACGCGTTGCAGCCTTCTCGGACTCCTTCACTCCCTCCACCCGCTTTGCAACCTGTCAATACTATTGTTAATATATAATAATAATGATAGTATTAATAATATTAAGAATATTAATAATATTAATAATATTAATAATATTAACAATAATAAAAATCTTCAAATTTATTCCTATCACTAATACTATCAATCTTTAATATTGGTGAATATCAGAGTTCCAGGCGTAAGAAGCTGCCTCCTTCCTCTGTGGCTCATCCATGGAGCTGGTGAACTCTGAGATGTCACCAAGCCACATGGCCAGCTCCAGAAACACGCCTGCCCAGATGCCGACTTTCACAGTTCCATAAAATAATAGCAAAAATAGGCTAAGAAAGTAGATGCCGAAAAATCAGGCAAAGCTGCCGTAGCAGGCTTCACGCAGAGCACGGTCACTGTCCGCCACGTACTTCTGCACAATGCCTCAAATCAGCTGCTCCCGGCTGCCGCTCAAGTACACAAGCTGGAAAGCTTCGTTCAGTTGGCACCCCGGGGCTACATTCGAATTGGAGCTTGCGCTTGCTTCTGAGTTCGTGGCTTGCAAACATCACAAACATCACGCCTGTCTTTGAGCAGCAAAGGTGCCAATGTAGCCGAGCTTAGGCGGCAGCTTCTGAACACCAAAATCGGCGAGGAGCAAGCCTTAAGCAATTCTGTTGGAGCCGGAAGCTGGGACCGTCTGGAGGGGCTCGTGCGCCTGTTTGGAGACTTCTCTCTGCTTCCTGGCCTTACTGGGGTTGCTCGGGAACCCCCTCTAAATTCTGATGACGGGTCGCCGATCATCTTGATGATGAACGCCAGCTGCTTTTTCAGGAAGCCGGCGTTTTTCTTCCTGGGACGTATAAAGATCGACGTAATAGCCATGCAATGGCCATGTAGTGTGTGCCAAAGGCACATTCTGCGCTTGGTGTGTGAGACTCTGAATTGCAGCCTGGGCTCTTGGCACCTTCCAACTCAGCGATGCAGCTTGTCAGCTCTTTCAAGACAGCCGGGCATTCCTCAGCATGGAGAAGGGGGGGCAATCGTACACGTCGTGATTTTCTCATTGACCATGCCTTGCTTGCGAACAGCGTGCCACGATCTCTGCGATGAGCAGGATGATCGTGGGGGCAAGCTGCTGCATCTTCGGCTTGTCAATGGTCTGATTCCAGGAGGTTGGGCTTCTGAAAGCTTCGGGGTTCTTCAAGTCTCTTCAGGGTGTTTTGATCAAGGGGGGTTCACTCCCTTGCGTTGCAGCAGGCATCGACAGCGGCAGCCACGTGCTATCATGTGTTGATGCCAGGCGTGCCTTATGCTCTGAAAGTTTCCGGACCTTGGCTCCGCAGACTTGCGAGAGAAATGACAGCAGAGGCTGCCAAGGCACCCAAGGCAGCACCTCGCCACCGCGCTCCGCGATCTGAGGGCAGTTTTCCAGGTAGGCTGCCAAGGCCTGGGGGCGCGGAGCTTTTCGACCCTCTGCTCTCGAAAACCAAGGGTTGACCCAAAGTCATGGCTACCAGCAGGGCGATGGTAAATGGAGGTCAGACATCATCATGAGTTGGGGCCATCTCATGACAAGACGAGACTGAGTAGAACAAATGTGTGCAAGTTTTGAGTGTCTTGGGGCTGTTTTGCCCTACCCCTGCGAGAACTGCTTCAGGCATGGTTGCCTTTTCTACACCCTTTCGGGGCCGATCTGCCTCTTGTGCCAAACCCCACATGCAAAGCCTCCAGTTCTTCACAGTCCTCCCCTGATCCAATCTCACTCCCACGTCAATGTCTGTAATCCTGCTGGGGAACGCCGAGGCCAGCATCCTGGGCCTCATGCAACGAAGGATCTGCCATGCATCTCGCCGAGTCATGCACTCATGCGAGGGTTGGGACTCTGGGACGTCGCCAGATGCCTTCGGCAAGGACTCGCCAAGGCAGGTGTCGATGTGCTGGCTGAAGGCTCGGAACACCTCGTCGGTGCAGGCTTGCATTGCAGCCTCGCAGGTCCGCACACTGAAAAAGTAGCTGTGGACTGTCATGGTTGTTTGCACCTGGGTGATGCTTGGTGATGCTTGGGCTTTGTCATCAAAACCCCACAAAGATGCACCTTGCCTGCGCCTCGGCATAGCCAGAGCATCGTCGCGCGAGATCCTGTGCCCATGACGGCTTCAAGTCATGCTTTCATGCTTTGCTGGCTCCAGATCTCCAGATCTCGGTCCTTGCTTGCTAATCGCTCCGCCAAAGGCTCGGAGGAGAAATCCTTCGGGCACACGGCTACGCTTTGCCCGCCCGCTGAACATCACATCATCATACAATTTCTCAAGACAGCAGTAAGCAATGTCTGGGCACAATGGATGTGCTCATGAATGTATGTAGCATATATGTACTTTACTGTGTTTCTTCGCTTCCTTGTTTGCTATGCTTATGTACATACGAGACATGGAAGAATTGTGGACAACACCACGCCTCCGCCTCAGCTTGTTCTGCAATCGCCACACCGTTGCTCGCCGGAGCTGAGGGCGCCCAGGCCCCGGCGGGGAGGGGCTCCGGCTCTTGTCCGGAGACCTGGTCGCAGGTTCCCACCCCACAGGTGTCCACAGGTCGGCAGGAAAAAACAAGTGAAGATAAGAGCCAAGAAGTGCATTTGGACTTGCACGAACAAGGGGCCTGCCAGCGCACCCGAGCCCTTGAAACCTTCCTTCTCTGCTGCTCGTACGGTCGCTTAAGGGAATCCCACACGCTGCCACATGACAAGCTGCAACCACCCTGGCCTGGTTCCCCTCGGTGCTGGCTTTGCTCAAGTTCGCATCTTCAAGCCTGCTTGCTACTGATGAAGCAATACGTCACAATGACGTGTGTGGAAGTGTGCGACGAAGGGATATTGGGGTTTCCCGTCATGGCAGGGCTGCTGGGGAAACCTTCGCTGGTCAATAGTGTCTGGCCCACATGACACACGGACTGATGGTGATGATGCTTTCTGGTGCTCTGGGCTATTCCAAAAATAAGCCAGATGTTGTGCTGAGGTAGAGAAGCGCTCGCTTGAGTCTCTCTTGTTTTCTTGTTTCATCTGAACTTCATTGACCCGGCCTCTCTGTCACTGCAGCCTGTGCAGCAACTTCTGGCGCCGGCGCAGCACTGACATCTGTTTCGATGGCATCAGCCATCACTTCCTACTATACGGCTCACAGAACAGTTGGGCCGATAGGCTTCAAGCAGACTGGCACTTGTGCAACTGTGCAACCGCCTCACTTAAGGGCTCGTGGCAAGAACGCTTCATCACCAATCACTCTTTTCTTAGCTTGGTGTGCCATCTAGGCTTCGGCTCCCACAAAGGCTGCATCATGTTGCATAGGGCTGTTGTTGCATCAAGACTTGGCCTGTTCTCTGTATCGAGCCGCATATACCTCAGGAACCACACAACCACCATCGCATGAGGCTGCCTGAGCACGAGGCAGCGGATGCTCTATGGCAGTGCTAGCGCCAAGCTGCTCCGTCGCTTGGTTTGTCGCCTGCTTCTGAATGGCCTCAACCTGGAAGGACAAGAACAAGTTGGGAAGGAGATTGCTGGAAGGCACTGGCGGTAGCCATTTTTTCACAAGGGACTCGACTGCTGCCCTCTAGCGCCATTAAATCCGGCATCTTGGGTCTTGCAGCGCCCTATCCAATCTGGCCCGGGTCTGCCCGGCACGTACTTGATGCTTGCAGGGAGTGATTCTATAGCAGCTCAGTAGTCTTTGCTGGCTGTGGCTGTGGCAGGCATGCGCGATTTGGGCATGTTTCCATCGTCTTGGAGTTCAAACAGAAACCAATTCAGTTCGCAGCCTGCTTCCTTAGAGTCCCTGCTTCTCGCTTCCACTTCTCCAGCTCTTCTTTCAGCTTTTCAGCCTCCGCGAAACATGTGCTGCGCGCAAGTTATCTACAGCTGTCAATCGTCAAACATATGCAAACTGCCATCGTGAACTTTCGTGGTGGCTCCTGCTCGCCATAACCACGGCCACAAGCCAATCGAGACAGAGTCTCGAGTACTAGTGATTAGTGCTCACGTGCCGTTTTTGCCCCCTGCCTAGCACTCGCGTACACTACAAGGACAATTTCCGAGGGCGACTACTACGGGGGGATTGAGAACCAGAAGAGGGCACGCCGGGAACCCGCACCTGCTCAGGTCCATCTTGCGAGGACATTCTGTCCTTCAATTTCTGAGTCTCTTTCGCCTGCCACAGCTGAAGCTTGACTGTGCAGCGCACTTCCATGTGTTCGCCTGGTCCGCGCCTCACCCGCAAGCTTTTTCTCTGTGCGCTTCAGCAGAACTGCCATGTGCCTCGTGAGATGCCCAAAGCTGGTTCTGACATGCAGTTGGTCCTTCGGCAGCTCGACTAATGATTTATGTCCTCCACGCTGTGGTCTCTTTGCACGAGCAGAGAATAACGACAAGTCACACAGCTTGAAATAGGACCCATGAGGTCATCGCACCCTGCAGCACACATGCCGTGCACTTGCTAATGCCCTGAGCGACATGGGCAAAGTTCGCCATCAGCTTCAGCATGAATCCACTTGCAAGTGAGGTGCAGTGTATGGTTGGATTGGGTAGGCCTGCCGGGAGTTGGAGGTGATCGTGGCTTCTGGCATTCTAGCTCTGAAAGTGAGTGCTGTAGCTTGCTTTGGGTTGAGTTTTAGTTCGGACAGTGCAGCAGGCGCTTTCTTGCCGGCCTCGCCATACGCCACATCGACAAGACCGGAGCCTTCGCTCGGGCATGAATGCCATGCTTTGCATTGCCGCGCAATTGATGGCTGCCCTGAAGCAGAAATGAACAGGAACATGGTTCGAAACACTGGCGAGGGGCATGCAAAGATCGCTGCAGACGCGATGCATGCCGTTGTCAGGCGATCTGGGTGCTTCCTTCAGCCCGGAGCACTAAGTCACTAAGTTATTCTTGGCCAAATAAATGGCCGGCACAAATCAACCGGATTCTGCATCCTCGAGTGTCGAGTCTGTTCTAACAGAAAGCCAAATGTGCATGTTCATCACCCTGCATGCTTTCCGTAGCTTCAAAGAATTGTCTCAAGATTTCCAGGGCACTGCACCATGACGGCAATGGCATCCATGTCCTAAGTTCAAGGGAAGCCTTCTTGTGAGCATGTGCAACCGTTGAACACCCACTGCAGATGCACAAGCCAGTACAGTACTCTCTGCAGGCTGCTTCAAACTGCGGCACTTTTCTCCGCACATCTGCCGGAAGCTCAGAGAGTCCTCAGCTCTCCTGTGCTCAACAGCTGCCGAATCTCGTTGGCCATTGCCGCCACCACTTCCATCAGACTGGCATCGGAGATCATGGGATGGTGGATCGCGATCTGCAGATCGCTTTCCATGAAGCTGCGTGAGAGTAGAACCCTAGCCTGTATGGAATCTCCTTCCACGGTGTTTTTTATACTTGTGTAGTCTTTCACGAAGTCGCCCGGCGCTCCCGGGCCCTTCAAAGGCAATCCAAATTTTCTGGAGAGGTATGCCCATTGTGCTGCTGTGTTTGGGTCCAAACGCATCTGCAGTAGCATGGCTCTGGAGCAACTCGTAGGCACGTCGCCTGCCATATCATCCCAGCTTAGCCAGCGATTGAAGCACTTCTTGTCGTTCTTGTTACTGGCCACCGATTGTATACTCTCAGCCAATGAGCTCGTGAAGTGTCGGTGGGCCTCAGCCAAGACCTGTGAGCAATTCTGGTGTGACTTTACAGCCTGCTGGGATGCAAGTACGCAGCCCACCACATCAAGCTGGGCTTCAGCCTTCCTTTGCACGTCTGAAGCCGAGCTCATGAGCTCGAAGATCTCACCCTCAGTGAGGATCCCACAAAGACATCAGCAAACACAATTGTAAAAAAATAGTCATTGCTGCAGCGGGACTCTATTTATTTGACCCTATAGCATGCCATCATGAACAAGCGAACCTTCTTGCGCTACTGCAGCTAAAAATCTGCTATGTGTTGCCATCCGAGAATCCAAGAAGTTGCTCGCGGCACCAAAATTCGGTGCCCAGCTGGTCCAGGTGAGGCGCCCATCCCAGCTACACTCTCCCGGTGAATAATCGCAGTTTCCAAAGAGGTTCGGGTTCGTGGAGAGAAGTCGCTCGCGCACGCCCACCAAGTGATCGAACGTCATTGAGGACAAGGCTCCCAGGTCTTGTGCCCGATGTAGGAAATCTGTGACGTTCGCAATGTGATGGGCGCTAAGGTTAGCTTCGCTGAAGCCAGCTGCGTACTTATTATCAAGCTGAAAATTGGACGGGGGAGTGCTGGGGAATTGGGCAGAGGCTTTCACGGCACGAAACGTCACATTCACCATGGCATAGCCGGTGTCAGATGTCGGCTGCCGCAGGTCATATGCCACAGGGCGTTCATGCAGCAGCCCGTTCAGCAGCCAGGCCAAGAAGAAGATGTAGGGACTGGTGGTGTGATACAGCACGATTTGCCCAGACCAATCCTTTTCAACTGCGGACACAGAGCGTACCATGGCTGCATCCATGGGGTCCAGTCTCTCCACATACTTGGAGTACCGGTCTGCAGCCAAATAACCCTCCATGGTAGCCCAATTCCCAAGCAAACTTGTCTGCAAAGTGTCGGAGTGATGACCAGTCCTGTGAATTCTTTCGGCTGCAGCAATCTGTAATGATGGCAAGGCCAGCGCAAGAAGAGCTTGCAGAATTGCCGACATGGACTTCTGGACGTAACAGACAGGATTTTTTGGGCAGCTTGGCTCGAGCCAGGCCCTGACAAAGCGTGGTGACACGTGTCATGAGTACGCCCTTCAACTGTAAGCTGTCGGACTGAGCCGGAACCTTTGAAGTATCGAAATGGGGGCAGCACCCCCTGGAAGACTGGAAGGCGGACAGCTTCATAGTTACCATGGAGACTCCACGTAACCCTAAACCCTAAACCCCAAACCCCAAACCCTAAACTCTAAACCCTAAACTCCTAAACCTAGAGAGTTGCGAGATGAAGGAACTTGAAGGAGCCAGGGCTTCGAGCGTTTTGCGGGGCCGAAGATGGAAGGTTGAAACTTAGGATGTTCACCCCTTTATACTAGCAGTCCTTGAGAGGGAGAGTACTCCTACTAGAATCCCTATAAAGGTGTTAGTATAAGGGGGGAACATCCCAAGTTGACCCCGGATAAGTAAGACTCGGAGCTCGAAGGCTTCACGGTCGGAGACTTTCTAATCTTGCTCACCTTTCAATGAAGTGAAGCTCTCTGCTCCTATGTTTGCCGATGCAGGCTCTGGTGCTGACACCCGCCCTCACACCCAAAACCTGTTTGAACCTCGAAGTTCTGCAACTCCAAATCTCTCAAATCTCGGAAGCTCTCAACCACCTGTCGACAATTGCAGTGCGCGAACTCTCGGACTCACTCAAATCAGCTCTCGCAAGTCGTCAACTTTCAACCTTTCAGCTTCGAAACTTGGGTCAAACTCGATGGATTGAAGGTTTTGAAGATTGAGATGTTGAGAGTTTAAGGCTTGAGACTTGGACCTTTGCCCTCCCCAACCAAAATCGAATGACCTCGCTCGTGGATACCTGCCATGCATCAAGTGCCAACGAGCCACGAGCCATTGTGAGAGGACGCATTGTGCCGCGAACAGGTGCAGTATCATAAACAGCTGCAGCAGCAGCTGGAACATCCACACGATCTGCTCGGAGGCACGCGGGGACTGCAATCTTGTGGACTTGTAGATGCAGGCAGGACTCAGCTTACGTGCATGGAAGGCCCGCATGCGCTTTGCGTTCCGTATCCTGCGAGAAAAATTTCGGGGGTAAGAACACACTGCAGCTGCCCAGGGTTCTCATGATGCAGCCTGGTCTAGATTGCTACCATTCGGCATGTCATGCCTGAGCCACTCTGGGGGTTCATCAGGCGGTATCCGCTGCTTCTCCACAGTACAGCAGCAAACGAGCACCTGATCAGACCCGAACCTGGAGAGGAGCAGAGCCATTTCTGGCCTCTGCCCGACCTGCACTTTAGCACTTCAATGGCAAAAAAAGCACCACCAGGACAAAGCATGACAAAGCTTGTGGCGTTGGCCGCAGGAGGCGCGCACTCGTATCATTTTCCAGAGAGGCACTTCCGGGCTCAATGCGCTACGGCGCATTCCAATGTACAGCCGCTCGAATTATGCGACAGCCGATGCAGGACAGCGACGCTAAGCAGGGCTCCTTGCTCCAAAGCTTCCTGCACAAGATGAAAGACCAGCGGAACTTGCAATTTTCATTCAGCTAATCCCTCGAGAAATCCGGCACAATGCCTTTGCTTGCTGGAAGCACCACTGCCATCGAGCACCGAGCAGCCCTTGCGTCCACCTTTCACTTGCCGCTGTGCCGTGGGCTTTGCCACTGCGCACCGAGTCTCGCTTAACTTCATGATCAGTCCTGTCTTCGGACTGCCAGGCCCTGCACATCCTCCCAAATTCACTATGATGTGCGTGCTGGGCGCTGATGCCGCTCGGCTTCACCCACCAAACTGTGGCAAGCGTGGTCTTAGGCTAGCCTCCGCATGCTCTGTCCGCATCCGCAAGGTCTATCTTGCGGGTCATGTGACAATGTGAGGTCATGTTTTGTTCTCAAGGCATACTTCGTGGGGCGGGGATTCGCAGAACTGAGGATATTTTTCTGGGTGACCAAGCTTGGAACAATCCCGGGAAAACACCTTCTTGCTGGAGCTCACACCTGCGAGTGGCTGGGCATCGTGCGCCAGCCGGTACCTCCTCAGTAGGCCGAAATCTGGACCCGAATTTGAGTCTTTGCCAAGCGCCAAATACGGCATATGCCTTCATGCCAAGATGCTTGTTGTCAAATCGAAGCGGTCGCGGCGCTGATGCTTCCATGCCTGGCATTCTTAGCCACACATCTGGCATTTCTTGATATTTTTGGTGTGCTGAAATGGCGGCAGATGCCTGACAAGCTGGCTCTTCCCCGTGCGAGGCTGTCGGTGTTGCAGGAGGCTCGCCTTGCGTGGCGAGGAGGTTAGGCTAGGCTACCCGGCAGCTACCTGGTCTGAGGGTGGCCGATGGTCGCGGACTCGAAAAGTTTGCGCTTTTTCTACCTGCCTCAAAGCTTCACACTACCCCGCGTGGAGTCGAGTTTTTCTTCCAGCAAGGCCTGACCGTACCTCGAAGTCAGTGGGTGGTGCAGAAGAAGCTACTCAGTGCTCACTACTCAGGTTCTTGTACAGATGCCACCCGAAAAGGATGAAACATCTTTGCGTGCTAAAGGGAGTGAAGTAGGCAAGGCACCACTGCTCAACGCAGGGACCTTCCACCTGTCGAGGGCCTTCAACCATCGTCCGTGCTCGTTCGGACACTCCATCATGCAGTTCGGCATGGAGTCTGTCCACATCGCAAAGTCTTTGATTAAGACAATCCTCCCGTCTGCAAAGGGCATCGTCGCATTCTGGAGTCGCACTTCAAAACGCCACGCGACAAGCACGGGCAAATCAGCGGCAGCTGTTCCAAGCGGAAGCTGTTGCTGCTGTGAGGCGATTAAGGCGCAAGGCCTCCTGAAACCATATGCGTCTGAAGCGGGAATGCGTAACCTACAAATTGATCTGTTGAGGTTGCCTGGCAGTCGTCAGATGCGCGATCTCGTCAACCTCCTTGGGCCATGTCCGGAGGCGCTCTGATGCAGTTCCTCCTGCTCCTCGGAGATGATCATGGGCTTGTACTGGGCATCTGCAATTGTCGAGGTGCTTTGGTTGTTTTGAGACTCGTACATCGAGATGGGCTCAGAAAACATGATGAGTGAACGATACTCCAGTGACTGCTCCCAGACGTACTCCTGTGGCATGGCAAGCCGCTGAGTGGAGCTGTAAATTGCCCTCAAGCCCTGAATTGCCCTACTTCCTGCCCTCAACTTGAGCCACAATGGGGGCTCGGTTCGGCCTGTGCTGAGAGTCCAGCCCGGCCGCTGCTGAATCTGCGCTGCTGCAGACAGGCACCGTGTCCTCGGTCAGTGTCCCCTTGCTGAGTTGTCTGCCTGCGCATAGTATCACTCGAGATTCGCTGTAATCCTTGTATTGTAGCGCAGCAAACCGAGCCCAGCGCTTTTGCTCCAGCTGATCTAGCTGTTGATGCAGTAGCCTTGTCAAGGCCACATCTAACCCCCAAAAAGATGCATCGAGCGTAGCAGATTCTAGCATCTTCTACACATCAGCCTGAAATCCTGCCCTTAGGGGAGTGGGAAAGCCAGCCTGGTCCTGGCCATGACTTGGGACTGCGAAGTGGAACCCGCGGCCTGCCCCGGACATTGGGCTTCGAGGCCACACCGCTCAAGGAGGTGCCCTTGCGTAGTCACATCGGTTTGGGGCGTGTGGGGGTCCCTGCCTCGAAGGCAGACTGGGCTTCACGCAGAAGGCGACCGAAGGAGGTGGACTCCTTTTGCGAGTCTGAGAGGCTTCCCAAAGACATCATGAAGTCCATCTGCTGCGCTCTCAATGCGGCCCGTGGGCCAACATACCATCACACTGGATGTACTGGGGTGTGCTTCCAAGATGGTTCTGCATCGTTCCGTTTGACCTCTGTCTGACCCTGCCTGCGCAATTTGCGACATTGAGGCCTCAAGCACCATCCGCTGTTAACCAAATTCCATCCACCATGTCTCCCGTGTGCCACCGTGCAGCCTTGCCTTCAACGATCTGCATTTCCCCGCAAGGGATCTTGATTGTGGGTCGAAGCGCGGCCGCGCGTCGCCCTCGGCTGGAGTCTGGCTACGGGACTTTGCTGGGAAATGGGACACTCGAGGCTCTTAGCATCGCTCAGCCCCCCCCCCCCCCCCCCCAAGATATTCGGTCCTTGTCTTCCTGCTGTGGAAGACGTGGAGAGCCCAGCAGGGTAGGGAGTGGCGCCTCCCGGACACACTCCGACACAGCAAGCCCTCGGTTGAGGCATGTGTCAGGGCAATCAGATCAGTTGAGATATGTTGCAAGCGCCTGGTCTCCTGCTTCAAAGGCGAGATAAGGGTGGCTGCTGGGGATCTTCCTTGGCTGCAGAGTTGGTAGCTGCTCTCTGTCAGACCTAGCTAGCAGCTAGCCTGAGGACTCCTGGGCCTATGAGCTGCAGTCCTAGAGTCTCGTCACTGAGGAGGCCATCATCCTCGGGCACTGACCTGACATGTATCACATTGGCCACCACGGTCACACGAAGATGTCGCGTTGCTATGTCCCGTTCCAGGAGGAGCAGCATCTGGACTGCGGTCTGGTGGCAACAGCTGGGAGAAGTTGTCCATCTTGTCTGATCCTAACGGAGATTGGTGCCCCTCACTGGCCAATTGCAGCATTGATCGCAGGCTCCACACTTTTTTTTTGCGAGCAAAGTCGCTGCCAATCAGGTTTGCGTAGCGCTCTGCTTGCACAATTTGGTCGAAGAAGGCCCGGCCTGCACTCTGTCAAACCAGTGTCAGCAAAACAAACACCCCCCCTAAACCCTAAGCAGTCCCTAAGCCTAAACCCTTTTTCCAGCCGGACTGAGGGCGTAGCCGGAATACTGACTGAGGGCGCTGCGAAACCCTCAACCCGAATTCCTAAACCCACCTCCCTTAGCCCACCTTGGAAGTCGCCCTGAGCTTGCGCACGGCTAATCTTCACCTGACAACGGGTACATGGCCATGGCCCGCGTGCCAAGGCAGCAATGCTTTTTGGGGCCGAGTGGCATCATTGTGACGGTCATGACGCTTAAGCGTCTTCTCTGGCTTGCCTTGGCTGGACCACGCCCGCTTGCTAAAGCACCCGGCACGCTGTCATCAGATCAATGCAGGATGCCCCACAGCCGTGCTAAATCCAGAGACCAAGTGTCTTTTTGCCTTCGCCACCGAGCGGCGGTGACCGCGACCCTGACAAGCGGGAGCGTTGAGGTTTTGAGCTTGGGCACTCTTGCTTATGACGTAGGCTTTGTCATTCTATGTTGCTTTAGCAGGAATCACACGTCCCTGGTACTTAGGATGGAAGGGAGGAGACCGGTCGCCTAGACTCTACAGATCAACAAAGTGGCAGATGCCAAATGCCGAAGGCCAATCTCAGCCAGGGCACGTCAATGTCCGAAACTTGGCCTGCGCCGTGGAATGCCGGGGGTGGGTTAGACGACAACTGCTGCTGTTTGTTCCCAGCTTGCTGTAGACAGTCCATGAAGAAAGAGCAGGGATACAGCAGAAAAGACCTCAACCGAGCATGTTCATGCAGGGCCTGGCCTCCAGGAAGGGGGTGGGCAGATGGACGGCAAAAGCCGGCAGCAGACTCGTCTTTAGGACGCGGAGAACGCCTGAGCCGCCTGCCATCTCCCCCCCCTTTCTTTACAGGGGTATGGGAACCCCAAGGGAACCGCCCCCCAAGAACCATGTAGGGATTTCAGAATTGTCATAGGAACATGGGAGAGAGCCTTGAGCTCCGAATGCAAGTGGAATGCCCGTTTCCAAAATCCCTGTCCTGTCTGGCAGGCCGGGAGCCTCACTTTGGGGCCCGACCTGAGCTGGGAAAGGACAGGGGGACCGTGGGGACAACAAATTGCTGTAGCCCGCACTTTCCTTAACATGCGAAAATTATCGAAAGTTGACAGCGTGCCATGAAACTCCACCACCAATTGCACCAGTGCCTGACCATCCTCTCACCCCCCTCATATACAGCCTCTCATATACTCCTGCAGCGGAGCTGCGGACCCAGAGGTGGCTCCGAAGGCCCCCTGGAAGGCCTCCACCGCCTTCTTCGGGGCGGCGGCTCGCCTCTTGAAACAACGGAAAATCTGCTCACCGGACGGTCTCGAGTCAGGCACGCCCAAATATGGACCGCGTCCAACTGACTGCGCTTGGGACAGTTCACGCCGTTTTACGGGTATATGAGATATGAATTTTCGCATGCGACAGCCACCAGTGGGCACGTTCCTCTTCTGGGCATCTGCTGCCGCGCGTGCATCAGCACAGTCTTGTGGCTGCAGTGAAGTCTGCCTGTGTGCCGAGTGCAGGTAGGCATTCTGCAGCAGATGCCAAACCATCATCGCCGGCGTCTCACACATCCAGTGCCCGTACTGAGGCATCAACTCGGTCGCGCGAGGGCGGTGCCCTGAGATGGAGTTTACTGATTTTACTGACCGGCACAACAGATAACCTGTGACGTTTATGCTAGACTTTCGGCCAAGCATCCCAGGTCTGAACCATCAAGGTATGCGCTGCGTGCTAGGGTCATGTAGCGCTGAGCATTGCCGAAGCTCCTTGGACACGAGGTGAGGCTCGTATAGCTCGGTGGTAGCATGACAAGAGGATAGAACATTGAAGCTGTTCTGTACCATCCCAGGCGCATGCTGCTTGGCCAGCCGCAGCGGCACGGGCCGCACGTGCCGCAAGACTACTTTTGGCTGCGGACAATGCATGACATCGCAACCCATGAGAACTGAATGCCGACACTGGACATCTTCGTGCGCCCTACTGGGTCGATGGGCCTAAAGCTGCTCTCTTAAGAAGACACAGCACCAGCGCTTCTGCCTGCCAGAAAATTGCCAAGCGATGCCAAGCTCTGAGAAAAAACCAATGGATGGAGCTTCTGGAGCCGACCTTGCAGCTCCGTAAAGCTCTCAAAGCTCTCGATTTGAATTGAACACAAGGTGCCGGTAGCCGTTTGTAGGCCACCCTATGCAAGAATCCGGTGGAGTTTCCACTGGGTAAGGTGCACGTTTTGCTTGGGCTGTTATGTACAGTCCCAAGACAACTTTTCTGCAAGGGTCAGCAGTTGCCCCACCTTGCTTGATCCTTGGACTTTGCTGGCTTAATTTTGCACAGGTTGGCCACCTTCCGGAATAGGCCGCGACAATGATGATCGCAATGCGCCTGGTGGTGGATTGGGCAGTGGCACACTCGCGGCACGCTCCTATTCCACTCGTTGCAGTGGCATCCGGCGACGCTTATCGCCAAAGTGAAGGCTTGGCGAAACTGCTTGAGGACACGTAGGTCCCATCAGCACAACTCTTGTAATAACTGTCTCATCCCGCCAAGCCTCTTGCATCTGGTTGACCTGAGTGTTCGCCACACTCCAATGCTCGTGCAAGTGCAACTTGCAGCTGCTCTGCAGCATTCTGCAGCCAGAAGCCTAACGACTTCAAGCAGAGGCGCCAACTCCACCCGTCAACAACTTAAAAGTAGGTTGCATAGGCTCGCATGTGCCTGCGTCCAAGCTGCGATCTTGTAGTGGTTCTGTCCCTGCCTGCATGCCCGGTTGCGGATAATGGGATTTGATTGTCGCTTTCATAGAGTTTTTTGGGCAGTTTTCGCAGGTCTTCCAAGTTTTCGCCGAGTCACGTCTGATGCAGCTGCATTTCCAGCTGGTCCAATGACCGCTGCCTAAAGCAGAATTTCGAAGCTACTGGCTTCGAGATCCTACTGACTCTGGCGGAAGACCCTAAACCCTAAACCCTAAACCCTAAACCCTAAACCCTAAACCCTAAACCCGAAACCCTGCCAGGAAACGCATCCCACTCTTCAGGCGACCAGCCCATGCCTCAGCTGCTAGCCCTGCTCACTTTCTGTCCACTCTCTTCTTCCAGGAAATGAGCCCTATGGCATATATATATATATATACCATAGGGTTTAGGGTTTGGGGTATCCCTCTGGGGATTATAGTCCCCCCCCCCTTATAATCCCTATTAAGGACTGTTAGGATAAGGGGGAACATCCCAACTTATGGCACATCCGGAGCTTCTTCCACGCCCAGTTGCGGAGCTTCTCGGCTTCGGCGGACTTCTTTGCTGCGGTGTGCTCGCGCATGAGCTTGCCTAGGAAGGTACAGTGGCTTCTTGAGCGGAGCCAATAGGAGCCAATGCAAGAGGCAGCACGTAGTACGTGCTTTGTGCGCGCTTTACGCAGCTTCAAGCGGCTGAACTCTTCGAAAGTGATGGCGTTGTTTCCAGTCACATCGAAGCGGTCGAGTGCCTGCCACAGCTCGTGCTGGCATCTCTTACGGTCCAGCGGAAGCAAGGAAGGCATCAGAGCGCAGGAGGAAGGCAATGCAAGCAGCCCAGTTTGTCATTCTGGCCCGACTAGATAAACTCAGGAAGGGGCATCACTGCATCACCCATGTATGTGCAGCCTTGTCACGGGTTTGGGGTAGGCTTAGGATGCAGTAAGGACATTTCGCGATGTGGAGTGTCCATGCCGGTTGTATCGAGAATTGGCCAACGTATTGCCCATGCAAAGCTATCTGGCAAGCCACAGTTCGAGAAAATTGCCAAAGAAACACCTTCCGCGCCTTCCGAAGTGTCCAAGGGTTGCTCGAATGGTGCCCCCCTTCCTCCCGCCCCAACCCCCTGTCCATGTGCCTGCTTCGCAGCTGCCTCCAAGACGTCTTCGTGCCAAACGCGGCTGACGTCACTGGACTGAAAGATGCCCTTGATCTCCTTAGCGGCAAACAAGCCGGGGCTCCTTTATGTGTTGGCAAAGACGATGTAGACTCGTAGACTTTGCGTAATTCAGCGTGCTTGGCGCTTCCTCCTTTCGGGCCTTTTTTTCGGCCGAGAAACCTCCAAGGAGAGCTGGCCGTCCTGTGCCTGATCGAAGGAATGAAAGGCTGCCCAAAGCGATGAGTCCTGTGACTCTCGGATCGGACATTTGGGGGCATTCTAATACGGGCTTTCGGGGCATGCAGGGAATATGTCCTCCAGGAAGATTCGCTCGCCCACCGCTGCGGCACAAAACTCGTTGTAGTCAATGCTGCCTCACAGCTGGCAGAATGGCTGTTCCTCATAGCCTCCCTTGTTGTTGTGCCTAGCTGTATTGTGGCTTTCAAGCTGCTTCTAGCCATAGCTGCTTTTAGTCTTCTATAATCACGGCGTCGGTGCCATGGGAGTATGGTGGAAGAGTGCGCAAGAGCTGAAAAGCTGTTCATGCAAGTGCCCGCTTTCGGGTTGGGGAGCCGAGGCCACAGAAAGCCGTGCGGACACGCCTGAGCCGTCCTTGTCAAGCCTCGCGATGATCTTTCCCAGTTCCTGCCTTGCACTTTGAGGGCCGTATGCCGAAACTTCTCAGCAGCTTGCGAGTTATGAGATGTGGCCGAGATGCATCTCGGGGGAGTCTGGAGGGCAGATGGTTGCGAAGCCATCCCGGACCTGTTTTGCCAGGATGCTGGGGTCAACATCACTTGTCAACCATGTCAGAGCCAGCGATGCGGGGGCGAATTTGAGAGGGTTGTGTTTCCTCTGCCTCATCAATGGAAAGCACGCCGTTTCCGTCGCGGTCTAAGCTGCAGAAGATGCAGTGCACCTGAGAAACCCATCATGCGCGTGAAGCGTGGTGGCCTTAAGAAGGGATTGTGGCATTCTTCTTCATTGCCATCCCACCTCCTGAAGTTGCTTGGAGCTCAGCTGCCGAACCACAGCTGCCACGCAAATGGAGTAGAAGTGGCCCAACTCGCTGAACGTCTTCATGTTGGAGAGGACTTGCTGTGCCACGGGCGCGGACACCTCTGAGTACCTTGCAGGGATGCGTAGGACCGTAGAGTGGCTTGGGCTTGCATGTCCAAATAGTTCTCTGATTCTGAGGAGCCTGTGACTGTGCGTAATCCAGGCATGTTGGAGAACGTCCTGCAAGGGCAAGGGCTCATCCGTGTTTGGATCATGAAGCTCATGCATAATGGAGTTTACGATAGTAGGGGTACGGGTCCTTAGTATAAGGGGTTTCTACTATTTGGGGGTCTATATTTGGGCCCCTTATTTACGCAAAATCCCATATCATGCCTGCTGTACTGAGCTGTGTAGGCCCTCCTCGACCCAGCCCCATTGCTAGTGTTGATCTCTGTCTAGCATACGGAAGTTTCATATGCTGCACTTGCACCAAAGCAGAAGCAGCGTCGGTGTCTAAGAGCCTAAGGTGGCCCTGCTGAGGATGTTGCTTCGTCGCAGTGTCATGACATTGCGCATTCGAGAATGCTCACGCGGGCCCAATTTCTGAACAACTGCTGTTGGGGAGAATGTAAGGGCATTGCTGGAAGCAAAGCAACACAATATCGCCTATCGATGCCTAAACTGTGCGGTATGCTGGTGTTGCAAGGTTGCAGAGCCGGCAAGCTTTGCAGACACCTGCGTTCAATCCCCAGAACAGCTTTGTGGCGGGTGACAGAGGGAAATGCCCTGGGTTGCTTTGCTGTGGGATGAAGTCGGTGCAGCACAGAAGTCGCGAGCATGGCACTGTGAAGCATGAGCATTCTTGCCTCTTTGTGAGTTTCTCAACTCTCTCAGAGCTCTATGTTAGCTCATCCTCTCTCCTCTGTCACCTAATGTCACCTAAACGTCCCCCAATACACGCTGCAGGCTCCTTGGGGCGGAGACGCATTGTAGGATCGGCCTTCAGGAGACCTTTGATCAGATCCTGGGCATCTCGCGATGTAGACTGCCAGACCTGTCCGGCCATCGAATACTGCTCCTGGAAACTGCAAGTAGCAGAGACAGTTTGGAACATGTCCTTCATGTTCAGTAGTTTTGCAGGACGAGGGCTAGTTGGAAACTTTTTCTGCAGGATTCAAGGCGAGCTCCTTCTTCATTTTCTTGAGAAGATCCTTCTGTCCGCCGTGAAAGGGCAGATTCCCGGCAAGCATGACGTAGATCAAAACGCCCACGCTCCACCTGTCAATCCGATGCAAGGGCGTGAGCCCAACCCACTCTCCTGATCGCTGTTAAACTCATAACAGAAAACTTCAGCTTGGGGTTTGGAGCTCTACAGCACCCACACTCTGACATACCATGACATGTTGTGGCCAAGGTCTGATGCTGCTGAGCTGCATATCACAAGCGGCAGTATAGGAGGAGAAGCATCTCGACAAGTTGTCTGCCTCCATCACCTGCCCAACTGTCCCGGAAGAAGGCTAGCTACTACACTGTCTACAGGTCATAAGAATTGCCAGCGGTACGTAAAATCTCAACCCTACTCGTCGAGGTTTCAGCAACGCATGGCACACTGCATAAATGCACGAGCCTCTGGGGCGCAATACTTCACCGTGCCAGCAAAGTGCCGCATGCGAGAGGCACCGAAATTATGGCCAACGCCCCAATCAATGACCTGTACACGGTGTGGATATGTTTCTTTGTCATTCCTAGAACAATCAACTTCCATCTTCTAACAATAGGCAGCTGATCCTGTCCTCAACATGCTAGCATGGCTAAAAACTGCTCTGGCAGCGCCTTGATTTCATCGCAGTTGGGATCCTGACACACAGGGGACATGTGTGCACACATGCGAGCGCACACCTGTCCACAGAGTCACAGAGTGGTGCGATTCAACTAGCTGGCGAAATCAGGCGAACGAGCAGCTTCGTTGACACAAGTGCTGGAAACCTGAGCAGCTCAAGCTACTGCAAAGCCTCGGATGCGAACATGATGTTCTCAGGCTTGATATCCTCAGCTGTCAATCGGCTATTGTGCTGGATGGAAGCCGAACCTGCGCAATGCACTATGTCATCTGCAGCTGTGCATCGCGATGGGCAATGCCCTTGTCGTGCGCGTAGTGCAATGCGCTGGCCAGTTGCTGGATGATCCCTGCAGCCATCCGCTCTCCCAACCGTGGCGAGTCGAGACTGAACATGTAGTCAAAGAGGTCCTGGCGAGGAGAAACAAATAACAAGCGTCAAGAGCATACATTATGACGTAGACGTGCTAGTTCTAAGATGTAAACCGCATGAGCGAACTCATTTCCATCGCTGGTACCGCTGTGTTCACCTCTTTTCTACTGTCATGTTCCGTCAGGTTCACTTCGGCGGCCAAGTGAGTGATTTGAAGGACAAAATGCCCTATTCTTGAGTCTTCAGTATGAGAGTTCGGGTCTCAAGGTGTGTCAAAGTGATTCCGGAATGTTAGACAGGCGGTTGGGGTTTCGAGGTAAAGGCCCCTAGAAAATAATCTAACTTCACGCGCAGAACTTGTAAATTCGCGCTGTTAACGAGGGCCTCTAGGTGAGGATGGCACGGCGAGTGAATGATTTGTACGCCTTAGAAAGCACAGCGGTCGCTCGAACACAGATCGGGCCATGAGCGATGGGCAGTCCTTGCCCTCACAGAGCTCCATGACGTAGTACTTGAGACCATTCCGCTGGTACGTCTCGAAGAGCTTGCAGATGTTCGGGTGGTCCAAACTCTTCCTTTATCAGCTTTGACAGCGGGTTTTGACGAGAAAGAACCGTGTGCTTGTGTTGCTTGCGACTTGGCTCAGCCGGATGCTTGCAGAGCCAATCCAGCCTTGCTGACTAAGCCCTGACATTGAAGCAAGCTGCATGAGCTTCTCCTCATTCTCGGAGATCTGGTGGTGGCGCTGGCTTGCCAGCAACATCGACTTGATTGCCACACGCCGCTCTGGGTGCTTCCGATCGGTGGCTCGGAACACTTTGCCGAACCCACCGGTTGCGAGCTCCAAATTCTCAAGCTGGTAGTTTGCCGTGATGTCTTTGTCAACGCGGCTCGGTGCCATGCTCCGCACGCTGTACCTGGGGAGCCAGGTGTAAGGCAATTGACATTATGCATACATATATATATATGTATGTGTATATATATATATATATATTCTTTTTGATGACAGTAACACACGCCGGTGGCTCTCGAGAGGATCCTATCTGCGCTCATGTGAGCTCCGGCCAAAAGACCACACTCAATAACATCCTAACCCTCGAAACCACAAGGTGTTCACACATGTTGCTTCGGCGAAGCGCCGCTTAGTTGGTTGCACTGGCATTTCCTACAGGCTGGTCCCCAACTTTCGGCAGTAGCCGGCTCGCGGCCCTTTCAGGATTCGGGCCTGGAGTACGCTGTGCTCTATCCTGGATACAGTGCCTAATTGGCATAGCCGTCGCGACTTGCACAGGTTCCAGACTCTAAATGCTACGTAAAGGACAAAAGGGAAGCTCTTGGAGGAGAACGGGTTTGCAAGACAAGGGTGACCAATCCCACATGATGAAGCCAAAGCTGCAAAATATCCAGGGGCTCGTCCACGAAGGTGTCTGCCTAGGTAAATCCACAAGAGCCCCAGAAAGCCCTTCCCTCAAAGTCCGACTGCAGCCGCTTGAAGACATTCCCCGGCTGCTTAGAGCTGCAGCTTCAGGTCAGAGGAAAGTGACGAGAGAGTGTACTGAGAGTCCGAAAGCCTTGTGGAGCACTATGTGGCTCCAAGACCCAGGCTGCTGGGATCGTGGGCTTGCGGGCGCCGGTTCGGCCTTATCTACCGCTAAAGCTTGCGCGGCTCGCAGCGAAAGGAACATTGCCTGTTTCTTACAATCTGCGGCGGCCCATTACAGTTTAGCTGTGGCGCTCCTCAGCACTGTCGCCATGTTGAGAATCCGGGTCTGTGAAGACCACCGTGCGTCGTGGCCCATGAAGCTTCAAGCCAAAGATGCATCCACCAAGGCAGAGGCAGCAGTTGGACATGCAGAGCTTTCGTCGCATGTGAACAAGAAACTAACATCTTCAATATATGGCTTTGGCTCATGCATGCCCCCCAGCCCAATAGAATTCAAGAGCTGGCCTTCTTCAGGAAACCGCCAACTGAGCTGCAGCTCCCCTGGGCAGCAGCGGCAACCCAATGTAGAGCTATACATATTTCTCAAACGATCATTCCAACAAGAAAATATTGTAGTACAGCATCTACTACACATCAAGCAATATATACAGCGGCGATATATCAACACGCACGCACATTATGATATATATATATATATATATGTATGTATGTATGTATATATGTACATATGTATATGTATATCTTTATACTGTATGTCTTATTACTGAGTGCCCACACCTCACAGAGCTGCCGATCGGAACTTTTCCACTTCAGACACGCTGCTGTCAAAAAGAAAGCCATATGGGAGATGATTGCCGTGCAAACTCGGCTTTGCCGAGCACACTTACCTAGAACTAGCCTGTGACACGATTTGCTGCTTGGCTGCTACTTGCCAGCTTCAAGTATAACTTAAGGGTGAAGAGACCCCAGATCCAGGCATGCATCGAACGTTCGGACACTTGGGGCCGCTGTAAGAGAACGGCTCCCAAAGTCGAGCTAAAGTCATACGTCGAAACCCTCCTCCTTGGGTCGAATTTCAGGCCGACGAGTGGCTCTGTGGGAACCTTGGCTGTCTGCGGAAGAGTCCCTACAAATGCCGAGGAAGAAAAGCCATCGCAAAATCTGTGGCATGCTGGATCACATGGAGTACCCTTTGCATTTCCTCTGCTGGAGCCAAGGTACGTGCGCTAGGCACAATTGTACGGTATCTAGCGCAATGAGCCTGGCTGCGATGTTGCCTGGGCCCGGTGTCGATGCGAAAGAAAGGGTGCCGTCAAGTTGAGAAGAAGCCGTAGATTCCATAATCCAGGAAGTGTTCCGACTCCCGACAACCCTTGCACGGTAACCACTTTGTTTATGGATTCAGCTGTATGTTTTGGCCCGCGGCTCGGGATGAAAAGTCTCCCTAAACCCAAGGCCCTGCTACAAACCCTAAACCCTAAACCCTAAACCCTGAACCCTAAACCCTAAACCCTAAACCCTAAAACCCTCACATCTTGGCACCTGGCATCCTCCGGTCCCAGCTGGGTTGTCGGAGTTCGGCATCCCTCCTCCAATGCTCTTTGCTTCGGCTCCTTTTGACGAAGAGCCCGGTTTAGGTTTTTTTTTTTTTAACAACCCTTCACTCCTTTTCGGGCGAGCTTGCAGCTAGGGTAGGTTACGAAACCGGAAAGCATGCCCCTCAGTACTCCCTGTGCATGATCATGTCACACGCCCACGTCTAGACGCGCCAACGAGCCCATCTCTGTCACCTCCACCACCACCTTCTTCCACCAAACAGGGTTTAGGGTTTAGGGTTTAGGGTTTAGGGTACAAAGTCGGCCCCATGTTGCAAGAGTCCTCAACGTGGCTCTCAACAGTCTCTGCTGGAGCTGCAGGAAATTTGACCTAGTCAGGATGAGTCTCACAGATTCGTCACCTGGAAGCTTAGCGTGACGTGTGAAGGCTTGCAGCCGCAGAATTCTTGTTCTTGCAGGAGCACAGCTGCGGATCACAAGCCTATGCCATGGCCACTGGGATGACCCTTAATGCCCTTTGAAACATGTTCCTGAATATGATCCTCTTAAACCCAATAAGGGAAAATGGGCAATGTCCCAGGGTGCCTACTTAGGGCAGTCTGGCCCCAACGGCCACACTTGTTTTGCTTCTCGAACGCCTTGCCTCGAAGCCCAAGCGGATTATTCCTCCTAGTTCTGGTTTACTGGCACGATTGATCTTGTTGCGGTTTACATTTCTTTGCATCAGGATAGCAGTTCTTATTCTGTTGAACCTTGTTGTCCAGATTCTCCCCCCTACAATGCCTAGAATGCACGTGACGCACGGTGCCTTGTCAGCGGGCTTCTGCGGCCTTTCGGAGAGAGCTGGTGCCGGAGCGATCTTGCCCTCCAGGGAGGCGTAGATTTGGATCCCAGGGTTTAGGGTTTAGGGTTTAGGGATGCCAGAAACCTACTCGACGTCTGGGACTTGCGTTCGGCGGTCAAGATTCGACATGCTAACTTTTATTCCCTTCTGAAGTAATTTGGGGCTCTCCGGTGCTCTAGGGCGGTCTGCTCAAGGTTCTGGCCTTGCGCCGCCGACGAGGTCTGAAGACGACCCAATCAACACCTTTGGAGGGGAGGACCAAGGCTCCGAAATTTCTCCAATACTTCCCCCCAAACAACCCGCCAAGGCTGATACATCTTGGGAACGGTGCAAAGATACTGCCGTCCTGAGCTCCGACACGCAACATGAGCTAAGCACTGCCAAGCCAAGCCCCTGCTCTTTTTTGCCCAGCCGCAGGGAAGCTCGGTGGCTCTTGGGCGCTGTCAAGTGCCCTTGCAGGTCAAACATGCATCCGCCTAACGACCTTGCATGCCCTCACATGTCCATGGGAATTCACTGGCAACATTGGGCTAGGATCGCCAAGCCATTGCACATGACATGACAGAATAGCACTCGCCACACCGCAAACCGTGCATGGCTCTCCGCATGTTCACGCCATCGTCTTTGGAAGACTCAGGGATGCAGTCTCTTGGGTGCCTGTCGTAGGCCAAGTGCGCCTGCAGGGATATGTGTCCGATAAGAGGTGCCTTTAGCATGATAATCCCTTATGAATGCGAGGAAGACAGCGCTGTTCAACTCCGGCCACGATGTACTCGAGCGTAGTCATCCGGTTGTAGACCAGCGCGAGGTGGAAGATCAACAATGTTGAGATGGGCACAATCAGGGCTATGTTCGAAAGCCTCAGGGCAATGGACTCTACAGGCTTGTTCGATACATTCTTGCCTTCTTCAACATGTCTAAAGTGCATCCCCGGCACGTTAGAAAGATGATGGCAGGCAATAGCAGCTCCTCAAGACTCAAGACGCATGAGGCCACAGGGGTGCCAGCATTACGGGAAAGTTGCAGTGGCAGTCGACGTGGCTTTGGCCACACATTTTCCCCGGGTGGCTTTATCAACTGGATTGTGCACTCTTTCGTAACTTGCGAGCGGGTAGTCTGCCGTCTGGGGAATCTTCGTGGACATCTTCGAATGCCCACTCCTTTGGCTCGCCATACATGATGACCACCCCGGTGAGCACAATTCCGCTGACGCACATGATCCCTGGTCGGACATACGGTTTACTGCGGGCTGTGCAGGCCTGGGAGATACTATTGAATTGGCAACCTTCGGACGTCAGCGGAGGGAATGTCCAATGTGGCACCCGCGCCTAAGAACAGTGTTGCCGAGATCATGGCAGTCCAGAAGCTTCGATAATTTTGATCGCCAATACCTCGGATGTCATCCCACTAGCGCAGGGGCGAATTCGGGAGATGCTCTCTTAGAGAATCCTTGGATTTCGGGTCTGCCAGCAGCGGTTTGCATTTGCTTGAAGTTTTTTGCCATCTTGTGCCCGTTGCCCATCATGCCGTTACTTCACTTATGGCTCGCAACGCTCTCCAGTCTCCACTACATGGGACTACCGGGTTTCTGGCGACATGCTGCGACGGTGCCATGCCACATGTGCCGACTGCCGATTTGCAGGGAGAGCGGCAATTGTTCAACCATATGCAATGATGATCGAAGCCAGAGACACACCTCACAAAGAGTGGAAGCAGAATCCTATGCCCTACTAGCTACTACAACTCGCCAATTTGCTGCTGACGACCAAGACAAGCTGTGAGAAACTCTCGCAGTATTGCGTCCGCGTTGTCATGCTGCCAAGATGCCTGTTGCACGCGTTGCAGTGCTCTGTCCGCCACTCCTGCTGATTCTAACCCTGCTTGTGGCCCTATCGCTGCATTGAGGGAAGAGATGCTCAGAGACCAGGGCGAAGAAAAGCAATGCTCTGAAGCTGAAGAGGAGTCCCTACCTGTCGAACGTGGCAGTCGTGACACAAGGGGAGCTGCGTCTTTCCGAGGTCATCAAAGGACCTGAGCGGGATTGCAGTCCATGTTTCTGCACAGCATCTCATCTTGCGACACCTAAGGCCCCAAGCCAAGGAATTTCTGCATACTGCTGCCCTCTGTCAAGTCTCAGAAATTTCCTGGAGACTGAATTGAACTGCAGCCGTAGCAGCCCCTTGCCCCACTTCCACGAAACCTCGCGGGCAGTTGCGGCTCAGGGCTCAGGAGTCGCGAAGAGTTGCGCGCCGTGCGCGACTATGACTTCTTGTGCTGCCTTGCACCCTTGTTGCCAAGGCTCATTGGGATGGGAAGGGTCCGTTATGGCAGCCTTCACGCCAGCACCAATCATGATGAGAGCCTCAGCGCTGAGATGTTGAATGCCCTCCTGCCTTAGTACCTTGGGGCGGGGGCGACCTCGACATTTTTCGACAGTGACAAGACGGTTCTGGGTTCAAAGCGCTACTCCGTGCGCAACTTTGGGTGACCCCGCGTATCTCCGCGCACTTCCTCCGACCAGGCTCAAGCTGTGGAGGTCAAGCGCCAGAATTCTCGTAGACGCAAGTCGCAGAAATGACCCAGGCCCTACGCCAGTCCCCCAAAGGATCCCATAGAGCAATTTCCGGGGAGCCCTGGCTCTGTGGATATACGATTCGCAACCCAGATGCTGTCAATGAGAATACCACTGCCATCGTCACCTGCGTAACGAAGTCCTGCCGCCAAATCTGTGCAAAGGATTCAGATCAAGCTTGCTCCTTACCCTCGCGCCAAGACAACTTTACCTGCCTGTCTCCAGTCAAGCACCCCGTCCTTTTGAACCTGAAAGCTTCTGGCACTACCATGGACCATCCTTTCAACCTACCCGGTTCAAGGCTTATCAGAATTCTCTTCGTTGTCCAGAATCAAAGGCAAGTAGAGCAAGACGAAGGAGGTGGCGTCAATGAGGATGACCTCGGCAGCGAACCCAGACAGTGCCTGAGCTAGAGAGTGCATCTGCAAAAGCCTCGTGGTAACCTCACGTCCGCAATACCTTTGCTAGCAGCATCCCCTGGTCGCGCAATTTGGAGTACTGGTGCTTGCACCAGGACATGTAGCAATTGCACAACGTAGGAAGATGCATGGGGCCTTTAAGATCAAGCAACCGGCACTGAGCTGCCCACGATAATCAGGATCACTTGAAGGGGACTTACTGGCCTCCGGCAATCGACAGCTCGAACCGTTTTTCTGTGCAGCTTTTTTAAAGGGGTCTTTCGAGCAGCACTTGCCTGTTGAAACCATGCCGCCGGACATAAGTCTCGACCGTCGCCGACATGACTCGCAGGTCCCAAGCAATCCTAGAACCTACTTGTGTAGGATGCGGCATCTGATGTTGCTGGACAGGGTCTGAGCTTTCAAGTAGACCAGCTGAGATGGCTAGGCGATCGTTTTGCTCATGCTCTTGCTGATTTCATGTCCGCCTTGCGATTGCCAAATGCTGCAATGAGCCCCCCGCAGTAACATTCACTCATTGTGCTGGCATTGCTGCTGCTACGGCTGCGTTTCGAGACACAAGTGGCCTTACCTTTCCACAGGTTTGGTGCGCCATCGGCTATCCTAAGGAAGGCAAGCGAGGCCTTGAGAGCCTCACTTGCGAACTTTACTGGCGACAAGCGCATCTCGCCATGCGCTCTGAGAGAGTTGCCGGGTTTGATGCCAGTCAATCTGCACGCAATGTTTCTGACTCTCATATACAGCCCGTAGAGACATAAGCTTGCAGCATCTGGTGCCACGAAGTGGCCCCTCTGCCTGTGACTCCTATGCACAGGATCCGCAGTCTGCAAAACGCACCCTTGAAGTGTCAGGCTACACTGGGGGGGGGGGGGGGGGGCGAGTCTTTGACAAACTTTGACTGGGGTCCTCAGAGCGGTAGTTGCAGTCTACTGAGTCTACTCTGCACCCGTCTCACGCCTCTCAGCTGGGGGTCCAGGTGAGGTTCTGGAAGCCTGGCCGGGCGTAGTTGGCGGCAGGTCGCGGTGGAGGCACGCCTGGTCTGGGACGCCAGGCACCCCAATGGGGTGAAGGAGGGGGCCTCCATCCCGGCGTCGTGGCTGGCTGGGAATGCGGCTGTGCCCGCTGCATGGGCTCAGGGCCAGGCTCCAGAAACTTGGGGCCACCGGCTGCGGTGGCGTCCTGGGTAACCCAACCGATGGGTTTTGGGAACAGCGGGGATGACGGGTGTCGGATCTGAACACGGATGATGCCATTCTCGGTCGTGAAGGCTGGTGCCACCTGCTCAACAATTTCTCCTTCCTGCAACTTCTGAACTTCCTCGCTGTCCAGCCTCTCACTCTTTCGCACCACAGTGTTGCCACGGACCACTTTCCATTTCTTGGGAGTGAAGTATTGTGGAGCCTGCGTGGCTGCATGAGGCGGCTGAAAGCGAGAAGCCGGGTAGCTCGGGCCGCTTCCCTGGTATGGCGAGGCTGCAGGATCATGGCTCGGTTGCCCCCCAGGGGCTCGGAATGACCAGCGAGTGTCCCATGTGTCCCCTCCTGGAGCAGGCCCTTCTCGACCATCGCTTTTTGGAGGTCGTCCCTCGTGCATGTAGTCGACATTTGGGGTGAGCTTGGCCTTGCGATCTGCCTGGTTCGCCACAGGTGTCGTGACTGTCACCGGGGTGCTGGCGGTGGCTGCCCGCCGCCGTCGCTTCCGCGAGCGGCTTCTGGCAGGAGCTGCCGCCACATTCGTCGGGGTCGCCGCTGCCTGGGCCGCCGCTTGAGCCGCTTGGGCCTTCTTCTCCTTCTTGGCCTTCTTCTCAGCGTCCTTGGTGGGGTCCTTGGTCTTCTCCTTGCCATCTTCCCGCTTCTCACGACGGCGCCGCTTGGAGCCTTCGTTGCCTTCCTTGACCATCTTCTGAAGCTTCTCACAGAGCCAGTTGGTGAAGGGCCCACTCTGATCTTGCAGGAAGGCCTCAAGCTCGGTTTTGATGGCCTCCGGAGGTCTGCTGGACTGCAGCATCACGGAGATGTACTCAACAAGAACCCCAAGCTCTCCATAGCCACCGATCATGGTCTGCAGCTTCTCTGTCACGGCCTTCGACAAGCTGCTTCGTTGCTCAGCGCTTAACTTCTCATAGAGCTCGGCCAGCTTCGGCAGTTCCTTCGCCTCCTTGCCCATTGCATCCACGCCCAAGTGGAGGGACTTTGGATGGCTGAGTCTTTGAGTCTTCAAGCTGTCCACCATGCTTGGGCTGTTCTGATGCAGTGTGCAGGTTAGCAGCTGTTTGCGGCTGGTAAGTTTTTAGCTTGTCTCTGTCTGGAGACTGTGCACAGGATCTTGTGTGAGTCTGTCAACATGATAAAAGGCTAGGTCTGAGCCGCAAGGACCAGCGAAGTACTGCTTCACCAAGGCTGCTTTACATAGGCTTGTTTACATGCTGGAGATTGTGAGCTGGTGCGGCCAGAACAACTGAAACCGGCAGGCAAATCAGTGTTGAAGTGGTGGACGACAGAGTCTGGGGCAGGGGCCGGGGAGCCGTGGAGGAGGGCTAGCCTCGTGCGACAGAAGCTGTTCGCGCGCTTCTACCTGCTCAATTCTGGCTATGCCTGCAGGCTGTGCGGGCCAATGTCATATGCTCGCAATACAGCAGGAGATGATGCTTTTGCATCCTGAGAATGCCACCATGCATCCACACTCAAGCTGCATGGCCGTGCACAGTCCTGCGCCCTCGAGCCATCGGATGGGTGGTTGGAGTTTCCACACAGGCAAGATTAGGAGCTCAGACCAATAACATTGTAGCCGCTGTGGTCTGTGAGGTGCTGACGTGCGCATGAAATTTAAACCAAAATATGCACCTTGGTGCGGAGCTGATCTCAGGACACGGTGAGGACACGGTGCCCTGACGGACACATCATTCTTTTCCATACTCGCTTCTGGAGTACGCTGCGGTACGCCTTCTAAGCTTGCGCGACTCAACCCATCCTTGTGTACACATACACGCACAGGTGCATGCCATGGTTTCTGTACACGAAAGTCCTTGGTCCTTGTGACCACAGGAATTCCCTAGCTCCGAGCGTTCCGGAGCCAGTCATAAGTTCGCATCATGCAGGTCTCCATCTAGTCCGTGCAACCCCTGCATGCTTCCTCTGTACCCCAGCTGGGTCGCGCAAGTGATGCGATTTCGGTACGGCAACTGGGACACTTTGACCTCGGCAACAAACAGCAGAAGATCAAGGAGGCTTCCAAGAGGTGGCAGAATCATAATCCTTGTGGTTTCTTGTTTGAGCATTCCGCAATTGCATGTTCACGTGCACACCTGCTTAGCTTTGCCGGATATTACAAGAATAACACTAATACTAAGAAGAATGATCAGAATGATAATAGTAATCATGATAAAAAAAAAGGAATACAAAAATAATAATAAGATTAATAATCATAATAATAATACAGCAAAACTGTCCTGAGGTTGCTGCAGAAGCGGGGCACAGCATCGGCACACTTGCAGATGCCGGCAGGGCAGGATGAGCACGGAAGGCCGTGCGCTGTAGCACACCTGCGTCTCTGTAGATTGGGTTTAGGGTTTAGGGTTTAGGGTTTAGGGTTTAGGGTTTGGGGTTTAGGGTTTAGGGTTAGGGTTTAGGGTCCGAGTTGAGCAGGCTTGGAAGGTGAATTGAAGGTGTGATTTGGGCATCTTGCAGCGAAGGCTCAATGCAGTCGGGCTCGCTCCCATAAGCCGCTGGTGCATAGCATGTCCTACACGAGCCACCCTCAAAGGGTTTTCGAGGGTTTTAGGGTTCTAGGGTTTTAGGATGTTTTAGGGGTTTAGGGTTTTTAGGTTTTAGGAAGCCCTCAAGATCCCCTTCCCACACTTTGCTTGAACAGCGGCTCCTGCTGTCCGTCGCGTCCGTTGCGTGGAACCTCCTGGGACTTTGAGGGCCAGCTTCGGGGTGCCATGACATGCGCTCGGCGCCTTCAGAAGGGTCAACCTTAGGTTCAACCTTTCGGGCTTTCAGAACTCAAACGTTCAAACTCAGGAGAATCTCAGACTCAGAGGCGCATGGGATCCAAGCGCATGAGCAACTAGTCACCCACCGCGAGAACGCTAGAACAGACAGACTGCTGCACAAGCGAAGTTGGGCCCCCCCCCCCCCCCGGCGGCCTCACAGGCCCTCAAGCAACTGAACAACAGCCTGGCTATACCAGTATGACATGGCCTGCTTACCCGTAGTTATTTCGGATTGTTTTCTCTTGTCAAGGTTATGCGTCTGGGTTTGGTGTGTGCCGAATTATTCTTGGAGCATGTACTTTGCCTTTAGGCGTTCTATTCGTGGTTCCGGACGAGTTCACCCACCCTGCCACCGACTCTCTCTCCCTCTCACACACACTAACACCTAAGGCATCGACGCCATCGCGAGCAGCATCCGGCGCCAGCCATTCACGGGCGGTCTCCTTGGTGAGGAGCTCACGTCGCGTAACAAGGCGACTTTGTAGGGCACACTGCTTTGAGTTTTTGTTGGACAGCACTTGGGACGAGTGTGCCGACCTGAGTTGACATTCCCTCGACTTGGCCCTCCGTGCCTGTTACCCCCAGGCACCCAGGCTACTGAGGGTGATCGGAAGTCGTCACAGAATCGGTTCGTCTATTCGAGGAACAGAATCGGTTACTCTAAGAGGATGCGCGAAAACCCCCTTTTTCGGAGGATATCCCTAAATTACGATATCGTTCTTGCTTTCTCTTCTCGTTTTCTCGAGTTTTAACATTAGCAAAACGCACATCTGATCGAGTCAATACCGTTTTTTATCATCCCACTCTTTGAGTTGGAAAATGGTTGTGGATTGACCGGAGCTCGTTCACCGAAGTTTTCAGCACAAAAAAATGACCTGCCTGAATCAGGCTGCATCCATTTGCATGAGAAGACCTCTGTGTGCATTGCCCACTCGCAGCCCTTGAAACCTACACCAACTTTTTTACAGATGATACGCCCACCATGTCGCGGTGCGGTGGCACATGCCGGCAAATGCTCCGTGACCACTTCTGACGGCAAACCGCATCCGCCCCGAAGCAACTGCGGCCGAGAAGCGTTTCCTCGCCATCGCTAGCCGAATCCTTCCACATTCGCGTTGTCTTTGATCATCTCCACAGCTAACAGCTTACAACTAGCTTGAAAGACACCTGCTTCTGCCTCCTGTTTTGCTCCATGCGAGCTACTGGCATGGCGGGACTTCGGGAAACACTTGAAGAGCCCCCCCCCCCCCTCCCCCCATCAGCCGCAGAGCCTCGACATGCATATTGTCCTCGGAGAAAAGACGATCCAGAAATCGAACCTCCAGGAGGATGGCAACTTGGGAGGGGCTCTTGCAAGATGCGCCCCCAAAAACACGGAACCTGGTTCCGGGAGACCCCTCACTCCAAGCTAGGCATCCGGCGTAGTTGACGCGACCACCTACAGATGACAAAACACTACAGCTCTCCATGACCTTTTACCTTTGCTGCAGCATGGAAAGGTATCCTCGACGGAGTTGCGCTTACACATGCGTAGGTTGCAACCAAAGCGGTCGAAAACTCTCGGTCAAGACACCGTCATAGCCAATCCTTGTGAGGATGACGAACCAAGGGTGTTAGCACGCAAACTTGCACTAGTCCATGTCACTGGCATCGGCCCGTGCCGTGTTAGACGCTGAACGGCCAAGCGTCTGCTCCAGCAGGCTTAGGAATGTTGAGAGCTTGATCTTCGAAGGCAAGCTCTGCATCACCTGAAGATGCCCAAGAGATGATGAGATGACAGGAGACCCGTCATTGCCCCGTAGTACCTGCTTTGTCAATGCCCCGTGTTGCCTTCCACAGCGTCTCTCGATCAACGGTCCCATCTCCCAGCTTGTCCTAAGTGGCTCTCACAGCCCTAGTCTTTGAAGAAACTTCTGAACTGAGATTCTGTGTCGCATCATGTCCTCCCCCCCCCCCCCCATCTCCCCGAGGCCACAAGTTTACACACACACACACAGCTACACACCTACACTTACTTAACAAAACACAAGCGCAAAACTGAAATGACTGAAACCTCAGGTGCTACGTGGAAACAAGCTTGAACGTGTACATGCATAAAAATACATATATGAAGATATATGTAGGGGTATATGTATGGTACCAGCCAGTAGTGTAAGAAATTAATGCAGCCAACCTTCACTCATGTTCAACAAATCAGCTGAACTGATTACGGTCTTTAACTGGGGAACTGGAAATATTGGGAGTCCTTTTGTATACGTATTACTACATGAAAGAAAGTAACCAATTACGCAATTAGATAGGATATCTTTTTGACAGGGCTCTGGGCGAGGAATGGGATTGTGCATACACTCTGTTGTATTGCGCTCTTAATGTGTGGTCCAGGTTTGGATGCGACTGTTGTGCCAGTGAGGAGTGGGATTTTGGCTTTTCGTGTAACTTCAGAGATACCTATTCAACAGTTCAAGGAGGATGATTGTCGACACATTGCTGGTGTATTTGATTTTCATGTGTGATGCAGGTTTGGATGGTGGCGTTTGTGAACAGTCAGGAGTGGGTTTGGCAGGAAAGCGGATTGCACGTTGCTCGTGTAGTTTCGGTCTTATGTAGTTTCAAGGTGGGTTTTGGAGGGGGGTGGCTGGGTAGCATACATCATATATACATATACAAAGAAAGTATAGTATAGATCGAAGGGACGAAGCATAAGCAGACACTGATTGACGGTCTCTTTAACGAGACCTTTCAGTACCTCTAACTCTACTTCGATCTTGTCACAGATCACCTCCTCTATGGTAAAGTTTCCGTACTCAAACTTGAGGTGCAAGCCTTGAGTTGTTCCCCCAGCCGACCGGTGGACTGCACTGCCGGGTCAGTGGCCGAAATGTTGCGCACTTAGCTTTAAGGGTTCTGGCATGGATCCTGCAGCACCTGGATGCATGCGCCCAGGGTCCAAGAATTTTTCTCAAGAGAAGCAAGCACTTCAAGACCTCTCAGAGTTAACTCAGGACCTAGGCACAAAGCGTCGAAAGACCCGCTTGACGATGGCCACTGGTCGCTCCTCTGTCTCGGCACCTGGTCGCTCCTCTGACTCCTCTGGTTCGGCTGTGGCCGAACAGTCCCAGTGTAGCGGCCAGCCGATGTTCAACTGAATGAAATCCGCCACACCCGACAACATCGCATCAGCAGGACCAAGTTTTGCATCCAGAAAAAAGAAGCTGCAAGCTCGGGCCAAGCAATGAACGTCAACAGTTGCAGTCGCCTACTTTGAAGGTCACCCTGTGCTGACCTGGCATGCCATGCCGCGCACAACTCTCACAATTTCTGCGCCGCGATAGTCCATCACCTCATTCGTCTCCCAATCGGGCACTACTCTTGTGATACGGATGAACCTCTTCCCTGCCTTGGGAGTCTGCAGAAGCAACACGGTAAGCTCGGCGTGGGTGTGTGAGTAGGGTTGGATTCCCAGATGCCGCGCAAAGAGGATGCCCGATCTGTCACGGCGAACGGTGGGCTAAGTGAATCTTGCTGAGTTTGAGCCCCTTCGCCGTGACAGACGGCTCGCTAAACACAGAACCGGCGCGCCTCAGTCCATCTCTTCCTTGACTTTGGCTGCTTTGAGAGCGGCACCTCACCAGGAACTATCCAGGCACCATGCGATTTCGCCGCGCCTGTAAGCGTGACAGCGAAGCTTAGCAATTTCCAAACCTGTCGGCTTGGCAAACGCTCTACTGACAACCGCGCAATGCTCGCAGCAAACCCAGTTGGACCTTTGGACCTGCCTGTTCCTTATCCTTCACAACCGCCACGGCATGTGTCTGCTCGAGTTGCGATAACCACGGTTGGCTCTCGTCGCTTTTTGAAAAAAAGGGGCATCCCTAGCGCTGCCATTTGCCCCTCGTATGCTTCCAGGTGCGCATGTGTTGCAGAGACGCCGACGACCACAACTTCAAAGACGCGGGACAAACACAATGGAAGTAGAAGTAAGCCAAGTAAGGCGGGCACCCATGAGAGGATCCTCTTCCTCCTCTGTGTCGTCATCGTCCTCCTCTCCCTGAATACTGCGACGAAATGCGATGAGGAAAATGCCAGTACAGTATAGTGTCTTCTGTGGAAGGCGTATGTTCGCCCCAAAGGCAAGCTGAAACATGCAGTTGTCATTCCACTGCTGGTCGTGCGGGAACATTCAGCAACCACGGCCAATTTAGGTCATACCATCGCTGAGCAGATGCTAGAAGAATCCCATAATGATTTGGGCCCTTGACTGCTGCTTCTCTCCATGCTTAGTCCGTGGCCTTGACAGGCTCCGTCTTGACCACCTCCGTCTTGACGGGCTCCGCTTTAACTGCCTTCGGGCAGTTACAAAAGTGATACCGCCAGATGGTTCTCTTACTGCTGTCAATGGCATTCGCATCAGTTCTGTTAACGTAACAGTGACGTTGTCTGGGGCCCTTCCAAGACCACGCCTCTGCTTTGGTTGCCACACCTTTTCTAGAGGACGCCGCGGCAATCAGTGCATCGAGGGCGTTGGTGTCCTTAAGGACTTGAAGGACAGTTGAGGCTGAGGCATCCTTTGGTGTGTGCCCGGCATGTGCTCAAGCCATCGAATCTTTGGGTAAACTGACCGTCCGAGCTTCATCCTCATCCTCCTCCTTCTCCATCTTTACCTGATAACGGCCATTGCTTTTGGGTGCATCTACAAAAACTTGTGCAGAAACCGCCCGTGACTCGTGCCAGCAGCATGCCAGCCAGAAGTTTAAGCAACTCCGGCTGCATTCGTCCGGAGGAGACTTGGAGACTTGGGCCCAGGCCGCATGCAGCTCCTGCCGCTTTTTAGGATCTGTGTGGCTCTGTGAGAAGGCAATCTGCAGGAATGGTTTGAGTTTGTTTGGTGGGTTAAGTAGTGTGCGCGTCACGTCAGCTGACGTGCCTGCTCTAGTGCCTATGGTAGGACTTCTCGTCACCGACATGACAGCAGCTGCGGAATCTGTCTCCCCTGACCCCACTTCGCAGGGTTTCAGAAGCCCTCGTTGTTGGGTGTAAGGCCTGCTTCACTGGCGGCAGCGGCACATCCGCTGAGAGCCTCGAGGCCCGCTGCCGCTTTCGTGGCGGCTCCTGGCTTGAAACAGTCTCTTGCAAGCAGTTTTCGGGTTAGGGGTTTAGGGATGAGTTCCTTGAGCTCTTGCAATGATTCGCAATGTCTTGCGTGGCTGGGAGCGTCTTCCTACACCGATTTCTGCTCGCGGCAGGGGCGCTGCATTATGGTCTGCTGGTAGTTGCTGGGCTTGGCCCGAGACAACATGCACCCATAATGTCTATAATTAGGCAGCTTGCAGCAATCTGCAGCATGCGGTCAATGTAGTCGCCAGCACTGAGAGGCGTCAGAAAGAGCAAAAAAACATCCAAGCCTTGGCTCATGCAGTCCGACCACAGTAGATGTGACACAAAGTGTCTATAGGCACACACATGCTATACAAAAATAAGAAGGCGTGTATTGATGCGTACATGTTTTGCACATGTACTACAGCTCGGCTCTGATGAAGAAATGCTTTTTTCGTGAATGAACAAATGGTCTGGACCGGTCTGGATTTGGAACTTGATGCTCGAGATGGGTTCTTGAGGCTGGTTGGCAAAGAAACAAGAATCTGCCGAAACCCTTGCTTGCTCCTTTTTTTGGGGCCTTTCCCACAATCGCGGGCGCACTCAATATTCGCATCGTTTCTCCATGTCTGACATGGTCGGTGAGCCTTCCTTCCCTGTAAACGTCAGAAGTGTTGGTGCCTGCTCCTGGCTAATACAGTGCTCAGAAAATCCCTGGGCGATGAGCCGACATTCCCGGACATTGGAACTTAAGGAAGCCACTGGCCTCTGATTATTGCTCAGGGAGCTTCTTCCTTCAAGGGCCTTTGAGACTCTGAGCTCAATCCTGACTGAGTCCATCCATGAATGAATTTTACTCATCTGCACGCTGCGGCAGACGGCGAGTCGAACCACCATGCGCTTTTATGATCTTCGTAAGAAGGCCAGCGGATACTTTACAAGACTAAAAAGTTGCAGAACAACATTGCGCGGCACAAGATGTTGGTGTCCAAACTCTTGTGATGTGGGGAAGCAAGGCTGAATATGGATGAATGGAGGTCGCGGTGCATTCAAGGCTCCAGGGCTGGAATGTAGAGGAGCCATTGCTCAGTTTGCGGACTCATAGAAGCTGTTCACGCGGTCGCTCAGAGTGTCTTTCACACTCTGATCCAGATGGAATGCATGCTCAAGAGCCTGCAAGGTCATCCAGTGGATGTTCTTGAAGCTGAGGCCCATTTGCTTTACGCAAATGGACAACTCGTCGGTAAGTGACGACCGAAACACTGCCGGGTCATCCGAGTTAATGGAGCAGGACGTGCCATCCTGGAAGAAGCGGCTGATGGGGTGCGCCTCCCACTGGAGTGATCCATTTGCCTTCTCGAGCTCAATCGCCTGCGTGGAGACCGAAGAGGTGGGACAAAGCTCGAAGTGCACACCCTTGGACCTTGCGTAGTCATAGGCTTCGCTTCCGACGGATCTGTAGCCGTGCCCTATGCGGGTGGCGCCATAAGCGTCCATGGCAAAGCGGACGTTGTCGCCTCGCCAGAAGTGTGGGCGGTGCCAGGCGCAAAAAACACGAGACAAGACCTCATTCCTATGCATCAAACTCTCCCCAAAAAAATGAGACCAATCTTGGAGGTGCGAGCTGATGCTCGGTTCTAAATCCCTGCAACACAACTTGAACTTGTGTGTTCTTTGCCAAATCGAGCCTGGTCCTGCCTCAGCAGCATGCACCGTGACCTCAGGAGACTCGAGGGTCCGGGCCCCTGAGATCCGGGGCATGTTCTGCCAGAGGGTGCCAAGGAAGTGGGGAGGGGGAGGTCGTGCATACACTCTGACTCTAAACCGAAACTGAGCATGCACGGTGACCCCAAAGCCCATCTTCTGCGCCATTGCCAGGGCATCCCGGTGCGTATCGTGCAGGGCACCGTCCTCGACAGGCACAGTGAAGGAGAAGTCAGTGTGAGGGCGAGTTGCTTCATACGGTCCTCGAAATGCATCTCGCCAGCTGCGATGTCTACTCCAACCACACCTTGGTTCCGGAACTCCTGGGCTCTTTGATTCTGTGTCCGTCAACATCAGTTCGTAAACTCCACAGGCGCTGCTGGCATCGAGTTTGAACACGCAACCCTGTCCTCTGCCAGTGCGATCGTCTGCGCAGACCACGCGGGCTGGGCAGCAATGCAGCAAAGGATCTGCTTGACCACCAGGCCAAACTCAGCTTGACCTCGGCATCAAGCCTTCTGAAAATCTTCTGAAGACTGATTCTCTGTGCTCTGACGGTCTGACAACGTCAGTGTCTGAGCTTGCTTGGTCTGGCAGTTGCGCTACCCTCCTCAACAAAGTTGGTGGCCTTTTTCAAGCCCCGCGCAGACGGCCTTGACACAGGGCTGGAGACATGAGTTGACTGTGCAGTGCCTTTGGGGGTTTACGACTATAAGGGGCCCCAAATAATCCCCCTATAATAAGGACCCCAATAGGGTACCCCTAATATCGTAAACCCCCATATCTGTCCATGCTCTACATTTGGGCCTTGACGGCATCTGCTGCTTTCGACTCGTCGGCAATCTGCCCATCCTCACCTTGTGGGAGGAACTCAAAAGGCGAGTACCTTCAGGGACTCTTTCTGAAAAGGTTTTGTTTGCTGGCTTGACACACCTATAAAACCTATAAACCCTAAACCCCAAACCCTAAACCCTAACAATTCGGGGATTTTGCCCTATAGGGCGGCTTTGTGCAGTTTCGGAACTATGTCGGCCTCACTTCCGTATAGATGATGTTGTGCTTCTTCCGCTCGCGGCAGAACTCGAATGCCAGCTCTTCCAGCAAAGCAAACCGGCCACGAACAATCGGCAAGAAAGTGTAGAAGCAGTCGAGGATGGGGAACAGGCCGATGATGTCGTTCCCAACCTGGAATGCAGCATGCTTGACAGCTGAGGCCATTTACCATTATTCCCCCTTGACCCCCAAGCTGATTGCCAGTCTTTTGCAAGTTGCGGCGCAACAAGCGCGGCCAAACACAAGGATGACATTTCTGTATCATAACCGTTCTCCCCCGAAACTTGTCCTTCCTCGTCCCCCGCTTCACGGCCGGGTGGCGGTGACCAGCGAGGTGAATTTTGCCAGATCTCCCTGGCAGTCGCGCACCGCTTTTCGCACCTCGCAGAGCTACAGGAGATGGTCCGAGTGGCAGGCAAACTTGCAGAGAGACCCGACAACAGCTTCTACTTTTCAAGTCCGTACCCCCCATTTCACGGGATCCGTGGCACTTCCAGCATCTTGCCGTCCCAGGGTGTTCGGACCTTCTCCGGGAGCTCCTCAACAATCGACGGCGGAGTCTCTCAGAGTTCAGACACTCTCTGGGAGGGTTCTGCGCCCCCCAGGTTAAAATAGTAGGTACCCAGTAGCTCAGGGACAACGGGCAAAGGGACCACTAGGGGCTTCAAAACCTGCTCCCACCTCCAGGTGAGCCTGTGCGGCCCGGAAGAGCACCCCCGCATCAAAGGAGCCGTCCAGGTGTACGTGCAGCTCTACCTGAAAACCCCATTCCTCGCCCTACTACTAGGGCTTAGGGTTTAGGGTTTAGGGTAAGACTCTGAGGCGATAAAAAACCGAAGCATGCCCCCTGGCTTTCAAGAAGATTCCCATGGCCTTTGGGGCTGCAAGCAAGAGCTCGTCCGTGCTGCGGAGTTCGCATCGTGGGTTTGCCTTAGGTATGGATCTCACACCGTGCCTTGTCTCGATTGCAGCAACTGACGCACATGGGCCATAATATGCCAACAGGCTTTTGTTTGGCAACTTTGGAAGATATACTACATGAATGTGCATATATATATATATATATTGTTTGTATGTGTGTGTGTGTGTGCTTTTGCTTGCTTGCTTGCTTGCTTGGCTTTTGGCTTGCTTGCTTGCTTGCTTGCTTGCTTGCTTGCTTGCTTGCTTGCTCGCGCGTGTGCGTGCGCATGCGTTTTGTCTGTGCGGGCGCTTTGCACTGGGCTTGTGCTGCTTGAGCCCACGTGATTCGCGGAAGTAGATGCCACATTGATCCATTCAGACTTTGTCGGCTAAGCTAAAAGCTGTGATACATACTGTTCGTATGCACAATGTCTGGCCGCTGCAGCCCAGCTGCTTCCGCTCGGTCCTCCTGGGACTTGCTGGCGCCTCGAATGCTCATTATCAGAGAGGGTTGCAGTCGATGCCAGTGGGCGTGGAACGGGGGACACCCCACCGGCAACGCATCGCGCTTGCAATGTCCGGTCAACTCAGCAGCTGGCCAAGAGAAACAGGCTCAGATTCCTGCAGCCGAGGTTCCAATCATATTGCCCATGGCTGAGAGTGAGGCAGCCCAGAGCCCAGAGGCTTTTGAACCGAATCGAAAACAGCCGCGGTGGCATGCCAAGTTCTTCTGTGGCGTGCAAGGCTCTGAGAATCCGGTTTGTCATGTCCCAGCCTTAGCCTTCCCTGTCCCAACATGTTCCCAACATGTAAACTATGTCGGGGCACCAGAATCGGCTCTGGTGGAGGCGGTGCCGGCTCAACACCGGCGTAGGCCTGCCACTTTTCACCGTGCTTGTGTGGGGCGAAGTTCTACACGGATGTATGCAGCACCCCGTGGCAGTCGCATTTTGGACCTCGGGCCCCTTGAGCTTGAGTTCCTCCACAAACTCATCAAAAAGCCTTGGCACCAAATGACATAGGCTTTCTTGAGGGGAAAAAAGAATACACCTAAACCCTAAACCCTAAACCCTAAACCCGAAACCCCATGTCCCGAGGCACTCCATGGCCACAGCGCCCTCGCCCTCGCGAAGCCCCGCGATGCGCTGATCTCCCGAAACCTGGAGCATCTCCTGGTTTCTGCCACACATGCGGATTAGGGTTTAAGGTTGAAGGTTTAGGGTTCTGGGTTTAGGGGTACTCCTACTCACCCTTTACCAGTGGGGCGTGGTCTGCATTCTTGTCCGACGCAAGCTGATGCGGGTCTGGGGCTACATGACTCGAAGCACCGGCAATAACGATATCTTAGCGGTCTGAGGACCCATCTTGCAGAGGGAGGGGCCTCTAACTGCGCCCAGCTTGTCCCCATAGTGAACCGCTCGGCGGCTGCCAGCTCCTGGCGCACGGAGACGAACCAACAGTCAAGAGAAGGCCAAAGAAAAACAAAGGAAAGCTTACAAGAAAAGCTTGCATCTCAGAAGCCTGCAAGACGCAGAACAACCATGAACCCGGTCAATGTCTGCTGATGCACGGTCAACTTCTTGAGCCCTCACGCCTTCATTGAGAGGACGAAAGCGTCACGGCCTTCGAGCCAGCAGGTGCTTTCAAAATAGGTTGCATTTCTAGGGCGGCAGAGACCATGTCCACAATGTGGCTAGCTGGGGTTCTTCAGAGTTAGGGTACCCTTCTAATCTTATACATACCTATAAAAAGCCGGATCTTTCTAACACAGGGGGGGCCCCCCAAGTGACCCTTGCCTTGCCCATCCTTCCTGTAAGGTCTTGCTGTGTGTGGGGCATTCCAATCGCCAAGTCACGCTTCCTCTCGTCACGATAGAAGTCGGCTTGGGCTTTGTTCTTGAGGTCCACTTCCCTTGTGGTGTTCCTGGCGAGGGGCGACTATGGGCCACAGCCCACAGGCCAACCCTTAACCCTATAAGCCCTAAACCCTGAGCCCTCTTGTGTGCCTGAGCTCCCGCATGGAAGCCCAAACTCGAAGAGCCTCAATGGGTGGCTCCTCCTCCTGGGCATTTTTTGGGGGGGTTCAGGGTTTAGGGTTTAGGGGTTTAGGGGTTTGGGGTTTAGGGCTTAGGGTGGCTTAGAGCTGCCTCGGATTGTTTTGGGGGATGCAGATTCACGGATTCACGGTCCTGATGCAAGCATGCTGCGTTCAATAATGCTGTGCGATTTAACCAAAGCATGCCCCAGTTCCCGGCCCATGTCGTTCCAGTCTCCGAATGCTCAGGGACTGCAATCTTCTTTGGGTCTTCAGCTTCTATCCTTTTAGGGCCCTCCATGTCTTCATTTATGCTTTTCATTCAATTTCTCGTCTTCTTAATATATTCCCTCGCCTGCATCGGCCTTTGCAGATTCCATCCCTCCACATCTTCGTGTTCATACAACAATCACCCCGGAACATGAGAAGAAGTGCCCTTCCCAGCAACCTGTCCTGCAGCTCATCACGCCTGGCCAACACGGCCGTTGCATCCTGCCGTTTGTGACGAGGATCGTTCGGCAATCCATTCTGGAAATATATTCCATGCATCGGACCCACGTAACTCCGCAAAATCCTAAGAGCAGCAACATCAGCAACAATCCATGACTGGTACGGGGGCTACTTGAGAGCCGGGCGACCGAAAGCTACAGTAGGACCCCCAAGGTCGCAAGCGGCCGCGTCTCTACCGCTTGGCACGAACAGCAAGAACAACACTGGTTAACTTGCTAACTCGAACGATCGTCTCGCCATGACTCACAGCGAGGCAGTTCCTCAAGTGCAGCACATTTCTGAGGCCGTGAAATCAGCAGTAGGGAAAGCTCGCTGATTGGAGCGCGCGAGTTCTTGTTTACAACCTTCTTGTCTTGGGCCAAGGGCACCTTTGGCTCGATATGTCAGGGATCCCCACCTCTTTCCTCGATATGGTTCCCCCCCCCCCCCCCCCCCCTGCAGCTTCCCGCAGCATGCGGCGCCCGAATTTCGCAAGAAGTCTAAAACCAGCACACAAACAGATTCTGCCAGGCTATCTGAGCTTACAGCTTGCAACTCCCCCCAAAATTCAAGTCCGTTACTGCAGCAGCCACCACTAAATACACAGCTTGGACTAACCCCCAAAACGACCCCAACAAAACCCAAAACCCTGAGCCCCCACGAGTGGTACTACTAGAACAGCCCATGGCTCCGGCCTTCCACCGCATGCGCGGCCGGCGGAGCTCTGGGTCTGTTGCCATGAGCCGCTGGAGTCGCACGACGCGCTCCTCGAGGGGGGGGCTTTGCGCGCCAAGGGCTTTGAGAAGCAACCGGGCGAGTTTGGCATTTGAGAGGGTTTAGGGTTTAGGGTTTAGGGTTTAGGGTTTAGGGTTTGGGGTTTCGGGTTTGGGGTTTAGGGTTTCTGTACGACTCTGGGATAGAAGCCGCATGTTGCGTAGCGTTGCTTGGTGCTTCTGTTTTCGTGCTTCCCAGCGCTCCGCCCGCTTGTCTGCACGGGCTTTCTCGTGCTTCTCTTCGAGGCGTTCCATGACCTGAATGACTCAATGACTCATTGACTAATATAGGGGCTTTAAGAGTTAGAATAGGGTTTTGGGGGTTACTATAGCATAACTATACAGGGACCACTTGGGAATCCTATTAGTATCACTTCCGACCCCTATATTACACAGTTTCCAGCAAGCCACCCGACATACAGATGTGGCTAGTAGGACTTTTGGGCTTGTGGCAATTCTGACGGTTTGAGTAAACGGGGCGGATATACACGCTCTGGGATTTCGTTGCTACATTTGTTCGAAGTGGGTCATCACAGTAGGTATGCTTGGCAAAGTCCCTGGACAGCGTGCCGCAAAATCGGCACACGACTTCGCAACCAACTGATGCGTCGAGCAACTGTTTGGAACACCTCGTCTCGCCGAACGTCGGACTTGATCAACGTCCAAGCCTGCTTCACATTCAGGACCAAAAACAAACTCGCCATGCACTACAGACCCTATAGGCTGGAGTTGCAGACTCCGATATCTTGTTGGACGTCCTTGTCTGAATGCCTGCAATGCTGCCGGCTCCAGGCAAAAAGTTGTGTCTTATCGGGTGGCAGCTTCTTCTCATGTCGTCTTGGCCAGTCGAGGTCGCTTGGATTTACCGTTCTACACACAACCCAGACCCAGTCCTGCACGTAAATACATCAGTCATATACAGCATGATGCTGCATCATGCTTCTCCTGCGGTGTCCTCATGAGGCATGATGCATGTGCCGCAATGGCAGCATTGACGGGTGGCTTCTTTCACGGATCGACCCTTGCGGGCCTTTTGCAGAAGGGGTGTTGCTTGGCTACAAGTAGAGGGCCTCCTCGTCACCCAGGATGCGAGCGGCCTCCTCGTAGGTGGTGCCTGCTGACGGTACACGGTTGAGGGAATTTTGCTCTTTTTATCGCAGAACTCTCTTCCCGCCTAAGGCATCTGGATCTGAAAAGCGCTCTTCGACCAAACGCTCGAGGGCTACGGCGGCGTTGCGCGCTTTGGCCCGCGCCTCCGTTGCAGAGGCATTCTCATCACTCTGTGACATGGTCGTGAATTCCCAGTAGCTCCCCTGGACGCGTCCGATCTCTGAGTCGGTCCCAGCATGTCAACTTTCGTCCACACATGCAGGCACCAGCATGCACGACAGCCGCGCGAAGATTTCGAATTGCATGCAGCCTCGATCTCGCCTCGCTTGAGCGCCAGACTCAGCAGCTCCTGAGGTGATGGGCTGTGCATCAAGTTATTGCCAAAGTTAAATCTGGTCCACCCAACATCTGCAGCGCTTGCTACGTTCCATGGCTTAGGCTTCGCCTTCTGCTTTGTTGGTAACTTCAGGCAAATTCATGACCCAGGATCCGCGAAGACTTGCTTCTGGACTGGCTCACCTCGGCCACGAAGATGCATCGCTCCGCGTGCAAGCAACTGTTGGCATCGAGATTCCCAAGTAGCCACTACCCTGAGTCCAAACCCTCGATCTGCACTCCCGTCCTCAACATTCAGATGACCTCTTGGTAGCTTTTGTTGGTTGGGAGCCCAGAACCCACAAAGGGGTAACCTGGGCACCCCTGGGCTACCCTTAGGCGTCGATACGGTGGTTTCCGAATTTCCGGTACCGTATTGCGGTCCTTATTATAAGGGAATCCTACTATTTGGGGGTCGATTCTAGGGGTCACCCTTTTTCAGCACGGACTGAGGCCTAAACCCTAAACCCTAAACCCTAAAAACCCTAAAACCCTCAACCCCCCATATTGCCTACCAAGTGTCTAACACCTTCAGCCTGGGGAGCATCCCGGGCCAACTCTTGGACCCGGCGCCAGTCCCAGGATGCCTCGAAGAGCCCCCTAGCAGACCCTCAAGGGCTTGGGGTTTAGGGTTTAGGGTTTAGGGGGGAGGGTGAGCTAGTGAGCAGCAGATAAGAGCAGGTCAATTTGGGTCACGCGCTTCCTTGGCTGTCTGAAACATGCTGGAAGTCAGAAGATGTGGTTCAGGTTTGTTAGGGAGCCTATGGCTCCAAGGGTGAAGGCAGCTACACACCACCATTGCCCTTCGTTTCATCGTACTGAAGGGGTGAGGCTGCGAGGCTCACGATTACGAAGGGGGGGGGAGGGGGAATGGCTACAGCTGCCGCAAGGGTACGTCGACTTGCCGTTCTTTGAGGAGCTCCTGAAAAGGGATCAGCATCTGAAGCATTCCAAAGCCTAGTCTATTGGGTGACGCTCCCCTATTATAAACCCTAAACCCTAAACCCCTTCTCCTGAAAAGCTTGGCGCTGCTCCGTTCGGGTTTCTGGCAAGGGCCGGTCGTCAAGCCCGGTGCTCTCGCCGCGGAGCTTGCGCCTCAGATAGACTCCCAATCTCTCCCAGTATTCCTACATTACTAGCTCCTGGTCTCAGTCGATCGTTATACTACTCTATTCCTATATCAGCAAATCACGATTTGCAATATGACCATATAACAATGTTCTTTTCTTTCTGTTGCTTCCAGTGCTGCCGTCGCTTGGAAGGGTTTGCGGCTGAGACCGGTGCAGCTCCGGTGGCATGCTCCAGCAGCTGACTTTTGTCTCCTGTTGCTGGTCACAAGGGGTTGTGCATGTACATACGGATGTACATACGGATGCAGCTAGAGGCCATAGCTTGTGCCGCTGAAGTTGCATGACACCCGGCCTTGTTGTGGTAGAATATTCGGCCATCCCAGATCCTCGGCACAGAAAAAAAAAGCAAGTGCAACGATGCCAGGGCAAGATCTCATCCTTCTAGCTACCTTCAGATGCAAGCCAGCTTCCGATACTGCTTCCAGGCTGTGGCATTCACAATCCGCTCGCTGTCGGTCATCAGCGACTCGGGCTTCTCCCATTGTGAGATGCCAGTTTCCTTGAAACATGAAGGTCCAAGGGCTTCCTGGACTCTAACCTTTCAAAACGCCTCAAGGACCCCTTCACATCTCAATCAACTTCCCAAACCCAGCGCCAAGCCATCTCCCCCACCTCGTTGTGAAAGAACTTCCGGCCATCTCCAGTCTGATGCTCACTCCAGCCCTGCTCGCTGCCCGCGCTGCCTTGCCTTCCGCGGGAGTAACGGGTTTAAGCGGAGTGAACGCGCGTGAATTGCGAACCTCCAAAAAGTACACCAACAAACTTCCACGTCCTGCATCTACAAAGATTACTTTGAAGTTTCTCGCGACTCGGATGGCCACGCCTACTTGAAGCCCAAATTCCCTTCAGACTCCCGACTCCCAACAGCCCAAACCCTAAGCCCGGGTGCAGCAGCTGCCGCTGCAGGAGCGCAGCTGCTGCTGCACCGGCGGCTGCGGCGGCGGAAGGAGCGGCCATGGGACCTGTGCAAACGGGGCTATCCAGAAGTCCCTGTGACATGTTCAGCTGGAGTCTTGCGCCCGTTTCCAGCTTGAGCCCAACTTTGGGCCCACTCCTGATGTAGATTAAGCCTAAGTGGAGTGGGGAATGAGGTTGGAGGTAGATGATATGGAGGCAGCTGGGAATTCTGACTCTACGAAAGAAAGGTGAGGGCTGCAACATAAAAATGCCCGCGAAGCAGCTCTGCGTTCTGGCGGCACCGACAGCATCCATGAACCCTTTTTGCTTCAGGTCTCCTCAAGTAGCTTGCCTGAACTCATTTCTTTTACGGCTGGGACTGCCGCATTGCCTGCCTGGGACGAACTATGCCATTCAAGAGCTTGCCTGAACCCTAAACCCTAACCCACACTCTTTTGAACCCAGGCTCTGAGCATCAGCTGGGACCACCAAGCACTGCCCTGAACAGCCCTTTTGCATCCGGACTCCAGTGGGTGATGCCAGAAGCTGCCCTAAACAACTCTAAGCCCTGAACCCGAAGCACCCTAAACCCTAAACCCTAAACCCTAAACCCTAAACCCTAAACCCTAAACCCTAAACCCCCCGGCCCGGCGACCTGGGCGGCTCTGGGGCCGCACCTTCGGCTCCCGGCCCCGAGGCAACCTGGGAGCCAAAATGCGTCGCGGCCAACTTGGGGTTCAGGTAGCCGGTCAAAGCCTGAAGCGAACAGCACCTGGGTTGTACAATTCCGAATTCCTGTGGGAAATCACGACTTGGAGTGATGCTTTTTGTCCTGCTGGACTCTTGCAGACTCTTGCAGACTCCTGCCAGCTTCGGGCAGAGCTGTTCACCATAAGAAGTCGGGGATCAGGCGGCCATGGCAGGTCAGGTGACTGGTCTTCCCAAAACTGGACCATGACTTGCCGCCTTGACCCTCTTGCATTAGGTGGTTGGCGCGGCTCGCAGTTTCTGCGAAGCCGTGCCCAGAAGACCAGGGCCGCGTCTCCTACGGTGCCTCGCCGGCACAGTGGTAAGCTAGCCTTGGTTTAAAGATTCGAAGTTAAGAGGCCTCAACATGCCTCAACTCTTCTCTCCTCGGATCCGGTGATTGAGCCCAGGGCCTGGATCAAACTAAGCCGAACCCCCAAGTGTCGTTGTCTTGGCATCATATCGGCTGCGGACCCTATGTACCTAAGCCCTAAACCCCCTTCAAGCAGGTCAGCCGGCACCGGCCTGAAGCTTCTGCAAGCGCCCCGCTATCTGCTCAGTTCTCACCACATCTCTCTCCCAGCTGAGTTCCCTTAAGGAGCACACTGGCGTCCGCATTGCCGAGAGACGCCTCTCACTCAGGTTGATCTCAAGATAGGGCGTCCATCCCATGTCCAACACGAGATATTTGCAATCGGCAAGCGTGGGCAGGCCTGCTCACTCAGAACGAAGATCTTCAGCCGCGCAAGGCCTCGGAAGCCCGAGGGGCGTGTGCTGAACGGAGAAAATACCCATCGGCTCTTTTGTGCTCTTGAGCTTCCTTTTGAGTGCTCCGCACTCCGAGCTTTCCACCTGTCCCGATGAAGCAATAACGAGGGGTCCTAGAGATAGGCTTCTAAATATACCTTGCCACCCCTTACGCCTCGCCAGTGCACCAAGTGAGCACAATGGTCACTGCGCGATCGCCGCAGTCGCGTCTGACCTTGAGCAGTCTCCAAGGTCTGGCAGGAGAACTCTCCGAGCACTCTGGCAAGCACGTGCAATACATGATCAATAAACCGGCCTGGGGGCCTGGTTGGTGCGGGATAGCACGGGGTGGTGCTGCCAAGATTGCTCAACACGGCATCAACATCGAGGCTCCGGACATCCCAGGAAGATGCACGCGCTTGCAGTCTGACCTTCAGTTCAGGCACTTCAAGCTATCGCTGCCCAGCTCGTTCGAAGCTGCAACTAAGACCTGCCCACTCAAGTTCAGAGCTGCCAAACGATCATCCGCCTTCAAGCTTGCAAGGCGGGCTTGCTGAGTGCCCGACTGGCCCAAACACACGTTGACTTCGGCCAGGCGAGGCGGACGCGTTGGACCTCGGGCGATCTCACTTAAAAAGGGCTGCTACAACGGCTGCGGCCCATTTCAATTTGCTGGGGGCCCCCGGCTCGAGCCATTGCTGGAGTTCTTGCCGCTCCGACTTGTCTGGCAGTCGCAAAGCAAAGCCTGGCCCATGAGGGGGGCTCCTCTTCGTTGATCCTAGAATAGGGAATGGTGCGTAACACGCATTTTCCGCAGACAGAAGGTTAAGAAGGAATCTTGAGCATCGGAGGATGACGGCAGCCCACTTTTCAGCAATTGTTGTAATCCAGGCCTCCGAATCACCCTAAAACCCTAAACCCTGAACCCTAAACCCTAAGGAGCTATCTGAAGCCAGCGGATGCCTTCTCCTTGAAGTGCCTCGCCAAGGACATCCTGGGGCAAGCGCCTAGCGGCCTAGTGTGGCTATTCCCGGACCCAGGCATTCGGCAAAGAATGGGGGCCCTCAACCATTCAGCTTTGCAACTCTTCTGAAGTTCGCTTGCATTTTGAAGCCCGCCGCCCCATCTCCTGACCCGAACCTCGTGTCGAACATCTCTTACTTAAGCATGCTCGGTCCTCCAATCCAGCACTGGTCCGGTGAACGGCATGGGGGTAGGACCTGCCAGCAACATACGCGATAACAACAGCTCCCCCTAAACCCTAAACCTTAAACCACCACGAAGTGGAACGAGTCTGAGGATGCAGCGTTCCCACGGTGAGCCTCAAACGAACCGCTTTGCATCACAGAAGCACGGGGGCGGCGGGCGCAATGTCCGGATCGCCCCTCTGCTCTTAGCTCAGGCTGCTTAGGCCCCAGGCTCATGCGCAGCCTCCAGGTCCTGTTCGGCAATCCCATCATGGGCCTACGGCTCAACTTCGCATGTCGGTAAACAGGAGTGAGGGAAATCATATTCACCTGCAAGTCTTGGCACTGTAGTTTCGAGGTTTCGCAGGCTCCAACTACTGTGAGTTACACCATTTTGAATTCTGCAGGTCTGCCATGCGAAGAAACCTAATGCCACAAAATGGCACAGCACTTTTGCTCTTCGAAAGCTCACAGCATCGTAGCATACCAAGCTCCAAATACTGTAACTTACTGATTTGTCACGGTGGGGTTTGCAGCACAGCCCTTTTGCCGAGTCGTTTATTTGATTCGCTTGTGGAACGTTTCAATATGGTTTGGTTGGCCTTTCCATGGTTTCGCTTTTGGCTTAGCCTTGTTCGAAAACCCCCCCGCCCCCCTCCCCCTTTTCAAAGCCTTTTTGCTTTGCCCAGTCCTTTATTTAGGTCTCGCTTGCGAAGCGAACGGAAATGTTTGAAAGCATATATAGTTGGGCTGGTTTGGGGCAGAACGGGGGGGGGAAGGGGATGGAAAGGGGGGAAAGCGGTAGGAATTGGAGTGGCGGGCAGGGGGCAAGTGGGGAAATGGGGAAAGTTTCCAGCGGCTGACAAACTCTGGCTTGGCGGTTTCGTGCGAAACATGACCCAGTATACCAGCCATAATTCTCGCTGCCTGATCTGGGACCTCTCGCGCTTTCGCCAAGCCTGTTGCCTCTTAAACTCGTGTCTCAGGAGATTGCGCAAAGTACTGAATATTGCGCTCCTCTGGGTCGCCTAGGTCGGAGTCTGGCTCAGCAAAGCTGCGGGCTTCTGGAACACCTCCAAGACACGAGCCCCACGGTTTACTCTCCTTCACTGCAGTGGGTGAGTACAAGGATTGAGTTGCTTGGAGCGCAATGGCCGGGCACCGAAGCGGATGGCCATCAAGTACAAGCACTCTCCGTGGGCACCTAAGGGCACAGATGAGGAGTTTCCACGAGTCTTACCAAGATCCTATGCACTACAATATAAGCCCTGCTGCAACGCAGAAGGTTGTTGCATGTCATCAGCACTTCCACAGACACAAGAAGAACTGACGCGATGCCAGCGCATGCCGACCCCTTCATTGCTGACAGGCTGCTGGAAAACCACGAGCAACCTCGGCTTGGGCTTGCACATGCGCCTCTCTCAAAAACAACTGGAGCGCAAGACTTGGTCCATGGGTCTGCATCTAGATGCGAATGGTGTGGACAGTAGTTGCAGTAGTAGCAAAGCTGAAGGCCACCACTCAAACCTGTACCCTGATGTGTCTACAGGGCACTGCCGGAAACCCCAGCCGCCAGGCCCCTGGCAAAGCTGCGCAGTCCCACGATGCCCGAAGAGAGGAGCCAACCGTGCCGACACTGTCACCGCCTGCGACCCACTGATTCTCCCTTCAAAGCAGTGTAGGCTCCGGAAAAGCTCATATCGGGCTGCGATTGTGTCTGATTATAGCGGCTGAGGCCACATCGATCATACCGCACGTCGCCGCCGGCGCAACAACGTGCAAGACTTACAGCAACGTACGTCTTTTGCCCGCGCGGGCTTCGACTACGTGACGCTGAGCGCTCGGTTCCGCTTTGGGAGCGCTCGGTCGCATGTTGTGGCATGTCTCGCAGAACCTCGCCGCAGTTCACAACGCGAACTTCCTTGCATGCGGAGTCCCGTGCCGATATGATGTGCTCCAAGAATGCAGCGCCCGCAATAAGACGCCCAACTGCTGCATGGTCTCGATCGAGTCGTGGAGCAGGGGCAAGCGTCAAAATGTAGCCCGCGAAGTCCACGTTACGTGAGACCGAAAGCATGCCAGGCTCGGTGTGTGGCAGTCCTTTACCTGTCTCCGTTTCTGGTTCACCTGGACAGGGGGAATTCTGCATGTCCCGTGACACTCTATGACATCTTGATCGTTCTCTGGCTACGTGTTTAGGTCACGACTTACAAGTCTTTCAATGAGCATGTCAGCTGTTCTTTCCTCACGCCCTACCCAGTTCAGCTCCGTCCAGCAGAGCAGAGGTTGGCGTTATCTGCCTCGGGTGTGCCAAGCTGCTGTGCATAGCCAAGGGCAACGCCACTTCCGTGCTTTCTCCATGCTGAGTCGATCCAACAGACCTATTGTCGCATATCCCTAAACCCTAAACCGGCACATGTCACACGCGTCGCCCCTCCTTTGCTGGTGCGGATGGGCCGCGTCAAGCGACGGTCGCTGAGTCTTCCAGCTGCGCAGTCCTTGACGTTTTCCCTTTACTTGGCTTTGCTTTGGAGGGAAATCTACACCACGCCTGGAAACCTGTACGTACCTCCAAATGGGAGCCAAATCCTCCAAATTCAATGGAGCGCACTTCCCGAATGACAGCTGTGCTCGTTGGCCCGGAGTCCTCTAGAAGGCGACGCGCTGCTTTCGGCGCGGCCTCTTTTCGAGAATTATACTGAGCTGAGGGGGCGCAGTGTGACTTGCAGCACTGACATGCACTAACTAGCTGCTTGAGAGCGATGCCACTTTGCCTCAGGGATGTTCCTTCTTCGTGGTTATTAAGCCGCAGCACGGTGGCGCCCCTACGACGCAAGGTGGGCCGCAAGCTTCTGAACCGTCATGGTGCTTGGCAGTATCTTGAACTTGCCCAGACAGGGGGTTGATGTGAGCAAAACCCCCAAAACCCCCAAAACCCAACAGTAAGCCCCTAACACATCTTCCGGCCCTAACTTCCTGGTATCCATCACCACAATCATGTCTGTAGGTTCAGGCTGATGCTACAGGCCTCTGGCCACAGCTCGAACTCCAAGGCTTGCTGGTGGTCCACGCCAAAGAAGGCGCCGCGGAAGATGGCGATCCTTTGTAAAATCACGCCCACTTCCTGTACCCCCCCTTTGGCGATTTAACAGGCCCGGCAGGAGAATCCTGTTATAAAGCTATAAAGCCCTAAGCCCTAAACACTGAAAGCACTGCTCGTATTCTTATACTCTTCTTTGCAGAAGCAGGGGGGCTCCAGAAAGATCTTTGGATGGCCGGACACCGCACTTTGAACCGGCGACTTGGGGATGTGCTCGATGCCTGCTCGTCCCCTCGTGCCAGGGATGAGTGCACGTTCTACGGGACTACCTCCGAGAATCCTAGTAATCATGGTTCATGGCACTTGCAGGGCTAACCCACACGAGACGAGTGTAACTGCCAAGGGCGGTGGCCGAGCCTGCTTGTGTCAGGCTCTTCACCCAAACGGCTCTTGGCCACTGCAGGCTTCACTTTGCTCTGGCCCTTCCGACCGAAGACCACTGCCATGGCCGATAGCTTGCAAGAGAATCCAAGTCGTCTACAGGTCCTTCTAACTGCATGTTCAGGCATCTTCAGGTCCTTCTATGCAGTTGTTGGCAAGTAGTCAGTCGTTGGCAGCAGATCTGTAGACTACTGGTCTACTGGTACCTTGGTCAAGGTGGCTCGAGTCTCACGTGGAGATTTCCATCATTGAGCTCAGCGAAGTCAAGCGCAAAGGCAGTCGCCGCACGGGCGCACCTCGTCTTGGTGAGCCCTTGCCCGGTGTAGCACCTTCCAAGCAATGGCCGAGCTCGGACATGCTGTTGGGACTCTGAGATTCTCCCTTTCCGTGCGCCTCTTGAAGATGAAGGGCCTCACTGTCGTGAAGAAAATCACTGAAACATCCTGCAACAAGGGCACTTCCACTGTCGATGCTGAGCTTCACCTGTTAAAGCCCTGGGCACAAGGTGCACCTGACAGATTTCTTTGCCCTGCTTCCTCTCCTGACTGTACATCTGAGGAAACTGCCGCTTCAGTCTCTGCAGAACTCAGCTCTGCATGAGAAAAAAGCAGCGCGCAATCTCTCGAGATAATCATCGTGCAGGGTTTTGCCGATTCTGCATTGTCGGCTCGGCTCCCCGTCGAAGTTGCTGGCGACCATGAGTACGTGGATTACGTGCTGTACTAGTCCAAGCCTGTTGGAATCCATTGGAGCTACATGATGCTCCCCCCTTAGGCATGGAAGCCTCGTTGAAACAATCACAGAAGCGTGGGACAAGGCAGTCAGGCTGCAGGTTCTGTTTCATCCTCCAGAAAAAGCTGGGGAGAGTCTGCCATGACCCGTGCATGGCTCGACTCGTTCATGAGGCACGAGGCCGGCTGCTGATGGACCGTGGAAGCCATGATCAGGCCTCAGACGGACTTGTATCAGCATTCTGAGTCAGAGGGATTATCTCTCTCCCCTATTAAGGACTGTTAGTACAGGATTCAGTCTTCATCCGCAATGCAGGATATGTTTCAGGCATGGCACTGGACCGCTCCACCTTTGCAATTGGATTGATGTTGTCCTGGACCACTGTTTCGGTGACCGTCTTGTCGAAACAATGGGTTGCAGCCACGATGATGTGCAACTCTGCGTGACCTACGCAGCAAGAGACTTCTTGCACTCGTGACTGATTGCATGCCACGTGCTCACAGGTCGGCTGAGAAACTGACCAGCAAACTGTTATGGGACACTAGCACGGGAGCAGTCCTCTACATGAAAACAGATTTAGAGACCGAGCCGGTCAATAGAGTTTCGTCAGCATTCCCCGTCTCGCGTGGGAACATCGCTCTGGTGCTTGGTGCCATTCAAGCTCTTGGAAGGCACTTAGCAAACCAAAACTGCTAAGAACCGCTGTAGGCTCCCACACAAGTAGGAAACCTCGGGGGAAATTACAAACGCCCTTCTTTGATCGGATCCTTAGAATGGTTAGAAATGGACGATGTCGCGACATACTAATATTGCAATACTGAGGTTCCTAGACCCCTAAGCCATTGCGGCCCAGGAGGCTGAGTGGCAAGGCACCTCGTTTCTGACACAAACCAGCACCACAAAACCGAGCCACCGAATGCCTAAACCGACGCAGTGGCTGGAGCGACCGGCCCCTGTTCGGACATTTTTTGTGGCGTCAGGCATCGAGAAGGATCTGAAAGTGAGTGTCCATTCAAGGCGCCGGATTTGGTGAGGGCATCGAGAAGGTCGAAGGCAGCGTCCTTCTCTCCTTACCAGGATGGGCTATTATACCCTACAATCCCTTAAGGACAGAGATTCGACATCGATATCTGTAGCAGAGGATGGACCCTTGACGGTCGAGCCAAGCTCTCCAGAGACCCGAAGCCGAAGCCCTTCAAGACACGTCGTTTGTTGAAACTGGAGCGTCGCTTTTGCTGGTCCGTGGCTAAGGACGCCGTCTGGGGTGCGGCCAACCTGAGCTGAGGCTCACACTCAGAGTTACACACGTGACTCTTCCCAACCCTGACTGGCGTCACTGTCGAAAGAGCAAGAACCAGATAGCAGCTGTGGTTAGTTATCAGAACAATAATAAACATGATAATAATAATAATAACAATAAAATAACAATAATCATATTAATCATATTAATCATGATCACAATGATAACAATAGGTTCAGTCTACTATGATGCAGCAAAGACCGGTTTCGCCCAAGAGCAGGGCAGCTTGCGATCGCTTCGACCAAGTGCTTCCGGGGTTGATGATGGTGGGCCGAAGGGAGCTGTCCTCAGCGCGGCTCTAGCGGATCACACGCCTCTCCGCCACAGGCGCTCACAGGCGTGACATGCTTCCGTGCATCTGACCACGAGCCAGCACATGACATCAGCCGAGCATCGGGGTCCAGCTTTTCAAACTGCTCATCTAGCTGTTTAGGCACCTGCGTGTAGTCCCGAGCCTCCAAGAGCTCACTTGAAGACTCTGGCTGTCCTGGCTTGCTGGGCTGCGACTCTTTGTTGGGCTCCTTGGGTGCTTGCTCCTTGGATTGCTCTGATGGCTGAGGCTCCGGGGCCTTTTGGGACGCTGGCTGAGTCGGCTCTGAAGGTGCTGAGGTCGCTGAGGGCGTTGTCGAGGGTGCCGCCGTTGCTGCTGAACCGAGGACGGGCGTGGGTGCTGCGGACCTGCAAGATCTTCTGTCTAAGGCCTTCTCCATAACTGGCGCCCTGCACCTCTCCTTTGAGGAAGTGGAAGGTGTCAAGGACTGGACTGCGCCAGTCAAGGCCTGTTTCATGCCGCCGAAGAAACCTGACCCGCCTCTGCTTGATCTCGAATAAAAGGAGGTGCTGCATTCTTTCACGCACTCGGCACGGAGCATGAGATCCTCCATGCACTCCTCGCTTCTTCGCATCTCTTCCTGACGACAGGCACTGGACAGTCACCAGGTTTGCCCATCGGCGCCTTGACCAAGAGTCCTCTCTTCCCCCCCAACCCGCTTCCGTGTCAACTCGCCCCTCCCAAGAAGCAGTGTAACACTTCGTGCAGCTCACGGGGCACCACCTAAGATCCCACAAGCCTCACGCACCTCAGCTAGTCTCTAGGCCAAGCCAGCACAAGAGCTCTTGGCTCATCGTCCGTAATCTGCTTTCTGCCTTGTCTGACTATCTATTCGGTCTGCGTATGGCTGCTTGTAGCCATTGTGTTGGGTGACTGCGAACACCTGGGATGCGGGTCGAGCCTTTAGACTGTATCGAAAGGCTCTTTTTTAAATGTGGGTTTCAGGGGTCGACGTCTACGCCCCAGGTGTGCATGTGAGCGCGACATTGTTTGCTGCAGATTCATGCACAGTCTTGGCCCTCAATGCTTCTCAAACTACAGTATCACATTTTGGGTGCACAACTCTCCCAAAGAAAAAACATTCGTCGCAAAGACGTTTGAAAGGTATGACGGTGTCTTGAAATGCCGGGCCCTCAACAAATTGAGGTCTGAGAGGGTTTCAAGGGCACCTGCATACGGGGACATTTCACACCCCCTTGCTGTCAGTCAGGCTGGCGCTCGAGAAGCAGGATGGCAGCTAGCCCTCTACAAGAACAAGAACGACCGAGCTTAGCACGACACTAGGGTTTAGGGTTTAGGGTTTAGGGCTTAGGGTTTAGGGTTTAGGGTGACTCTGCAGCTACGAAAAACATAGTCCCATATGCGCTGCTTGAAATAGGGATCTTGTTTCAAACAATATTATAGACAACGCCTCGAGCTGCATTTGGAGTACTCTCTGCCGCTCCTGCACAGGGCAACTCGCAGTCGCACGACACGACCTCTGAACCCGGAGCCACGAATCAATCCTAAACCATCTACCGCGTAAACCCTAAACCCTAAACCCTAAACCCTAAACCCTAAACCCTAAGCCTCTTGATCTGCCTGGAAGGCATTCTGGCGTGTACGCCCCCAATTTTTTGTGCTGGAACTTGTTATGCCGCCTCACTCGGGCTTCTAGAGCTCCTGGTGCGCTCATCGGGGGGGTCGTCTAACTAAGGCTTTTTAGCCTCAGGGCCTCATAGAGTACACTGTGCCAACCACCCCCTTGAAGGACCATGAACCTCCTTCGCATCCCACCTGCTCTTCCTGGCGTCTTCTCTCCGCTTCGAGGCGTCGAAGCTCCTCCTCGCCGGATAGATAGCTTCCGATCAAAATCACGCTCAACTGCAAGGATGAGAGCCGATACTCTACTGTGGTTCTATAAGAGCCGAAAAAGGCATTTTGAACTGAAAAAAAGAAATTGGGCTTGAAGAATTAGTCCATCGTCTTTGGCACACCATAGCCGAACCAGGTTGACCCCTTCCTTCGCCTCAACAGCCCCCTGAACCCGCAGGTGAATAGGGTCGAGAGGGTTTTGGGACCAGGCGGAAAAATCGGGACCGAGGGAGGAAGAGCGTCGTCTAGTAGGTCACACATGGCAGCTGGCAAAAGGGAACCTCAACTGAGACCCGCACACCGAAACCTCGAAATACAGCGCGTCTCTTCCCCCTGGTACCAATTGGGGGGGCTATTCTTCGCCATGTTTGGGGTTCAAGCACTCCTCCTTCCTTCGTTGTTCCAACTCTTCCTTCTTCCTCCCAGAGCAAGACATCGGCTGAGGAAGTAAGATCTGTATAAAAGCATGTTGGGACAATGCGTGCAGCCAGGAGGTAGTTGGGGAACCTAGGCATTAGGCACTCTGCAGCTTATTCGCTTGTGTGCGCTGGCCCTCTGACTCTCTGTCTTGGCATGTCTTGGCTTCCTTAGACATTTTCAGACAGGGCGCTCCGCTTCGATCATGTCGTGCATTGCCTGGACCTGTTGTACTTGGGGTTGCAACTCGCACGGCACGTCTGTGGCCATCCAGACTGTATCGTTCTATGATCGTAATCATTGTATGCCTCTATTCGAACATGAATATGTGAGTACACTGCACCCTCAACCCTAAGCCCTAAACCCTAATTATTTCTCTCCAACAGGCCTGTCCCTTCACCACCTGGAGCCGGTCTGCCGCGGAGGCGTGACCGTTTGGGGCAAGGTCGCTGGTGAAGGAGAGCAGGTCGCTCGGGATCTGATACTTGATGAAAAGCCTGAAGAGTCGTGAATGTAAGAATACATGTATATGTATACGTATATATATACATATATATATATTTAACGAGCATGATGTACTGATATGATCATATGCAAACACAACAACATGATGTACTGATCTGGTAATATTATAGAAACATACCAACATACTGTAAGAACATTCGTGTAGTCTAACGAGATGACAAGCTTGGAGAGTACGTGGTATGTGGCTGAGGGCCGCCCAAGGTTCTACAAGTATCTGCCTCTCTCTTCCTCTTGCTGCTAGTCTGAAGTCGGGCCCGGTCGCTGCATCAAGTCCTGCGTAAGCT